CATATTTCCTTTCTTTTAGTATATATATAATGTGCATAATTGGTGAAATAGATTAAATTGTTATGAATTATATAAACAAATATTAAAAAGAAGAATATAGTGATAATATTTCTTGTAGAGTAAAGTTTAAAGTAAATGAGTTGAAGATGAACTTTTTAAGTGATGTGAAATCACTCTATTTTAGAGATAAAATAACTCTAAAATAAAAAAAAATAAGTTCGAAATGGCCTAATATACATGCACACATATATGTAACTACCAAATGAAAATATAACAATCAAAACCCGTTGCTATTTACATTGAAAAATGTTGCATTTATTATAATTTCTTATATGTCAAAAGATCAATCCAATGAAGCTAGCGTAAGGTAATAACGAGAAGGGGAATATTTATGCTTAATTCACTTATCTATATGGGAGTGTAATGAGGACATTTTTGTAAATTAAACGACATGTTTATAATAGTGTAATTGCCATTTTATTTGGAATATTTTAGAAACAATAAAATTATATAATAATTATTAGGGTTAATTTCACTCATCTCTATAAACTTTATGGTTATTTTTAGTTTACCTTCTAAATTTTAGAGACTATTATTTTGTCTTCTAAATTTGGAATGAGTCATACTTAACTTCATTTGTTAAATATTTTTATTAAAAAGATAAAATTAATTTAATACCATCTATTATATTGAAACACATTCTTAATACATTATGTTTTTTATAATATTAAACTATACTTTCATATTTAAAAAATATCTTTTCAGTACTTGAGTCCTTTCAAGATATAAAATATATTTTATACCCTTTTAATTAATTTGGTTTAAAATTAAGTAAAAAAAGGTATTAAAAATATTTAAAAGCATAAAAGATAAAAGGAAGAACACCAGCAGTTTATACAACGAATCAGAGCATCTGCAAACCCATAACCAATTGAAATTGAAACATTCATAGCAGCTGCAATTTCTACAAAATAATCTCTAATGAATCAGAGCGTAAAAAAAAAGCTCCAGTGAAAAGACAAAGTGAAAGATCAAAAACCCAGGTCGAACCAAGACATGAAACCCAAATCAACATACTTACAATCGAAATCTAGATTCTGAAATCAAACCCAGAATGAAATAAAAATCTATATCACACTCTGATTGCAAAACCAGATCTATCTTCTGTTTCTCTCTCTCTCTCTCTCTCTCTCTCTTTGTTGCCTTACAACAAACTAGATCTGTCATCTCAGGATTCTCCTTAGGTGGAGCTGTAAAGGGCGCAGATGGAGATCGTGTGGCTGATTTGCAAAGGAGTCGATAGCAAGCCTGGCGAGAGGGCGAAAGCGAGAGCGAGGAGAAAGATAAAGTGGCGAGGGGAGAGATAGAGCAGTCGTGAGGAGAGCGCGGGAGATATAGAGAGTAGAGATAAGGAGAGAGAAAAAAAGAGTAACAAGTTAATGGGTTCATTTCAAATAACATTCACTCCTTGAAATTAGTTCTAAAATAATTTTATTTTTTATATAAAAATAAAAATAAAATTATTTTTAATTTTATATATAAATTATTTTTAAAAATATATTTAATAATTTTATTAAAAGATTATCTTTAGTATAGATTCTTTTATTAATGTCTCTCTTTCTCTCTTAGCTCAAGATAGAAGAAAACGAAAATAAAAAATAAAAAATGACTAAAAGTCGTTTTTCATTTTTCTCTCATTTTACACTAAATCAAAAAATCATTTTCATTTCTGTTTTTTATTTTTATTGCACCAAATGCCGTTTTAGAAACATTTTTCATTTTTTATTTCTCAAAAAACTTAAAAAATAAAAACGGAATCAATTTCAAACACAATCATTGTATTAACTAAGGGTTTGTTTGGAAATAATATTTTATGGGAAAAAAGTTTTGAAGGAAAAAAAAAGAAAAGATTCTTTAGTATGTCTGGTGTATCGGTAGACCAAGTTTATTTAACCATTAGATTTACGTAATTTTTAATTTTTACGTGATTTTATGTAGATCTGATGGACATAAAACGTAACCTATCGGTATTTTGACATACCGAATAAGGTCTCAAAATATAAAAAGGGGAAAAAATAAAAAAATTTCACCTACCTTAAGAAAATTATAGGAAAAAAGAGTCAAAATTCACTTAAATTTTTTATTTCTTGTTTCGTAGTTGAAGAAATTTAAAAAATTGAAAGAATTTAAGAGTTTGCAAATCCTAAATACTAGACATTTGCTATATTTAAACATGGGTAATTTTTAAAAATACCTATTGTAATGGAGTCTCCTTTTATTTTTACTTCAAAATTAGCCTATATATTTATACCTTTTAGACTAAAATTAGTGAAGAAGTAGGGTTTTAAAAGAGTGACATTTGCTATATTTAAACATGGGTAATTTTTAAAAATACTTATTGTAATGGAGTCTCCTTTTTATTTTTACTTCAAAATTAGCCTATATATTTATACTTTTTAGACTAAAATTAGTGAAGAAGTAGGGTTTTAAAAGAGTTTTTTTTTAGTAAGTCAGTTAGTTAAAGATATAGAATGTGTAATTTTTTCTTGGGAGAAAGAGGAAAATATGCCAAGACTTGAGATAAATTAAAATTAATAGGCCAATAGTTTACATAAGTTAATAAATATGCCAAATTACTATTTTCGTCCATAACTTGTATGGTTATTAACCATAACTTGTCTGGTTATGAACCATAACTTGACAAGTTATTGTCCATAATTATCCATAACTTGTCTGATTATGAACCATAACTTGACAAATTTATCCATAACTTATCCGGTTATGAACCATAACTTGATAAGTTATGGCCTATTAATTTCTATAACTAAAAAATGACCTATATGCTTTCTTAAACTTTTCATATTGGCCTATTTTCTACTATTTTCCTTTTTTCTTCATTGTTAGTCTCGGGCCCAAGGGCTCATCTTAAAACTTAGGCCCAATGTTAAAATATTTGATGTTTTTTTTTTCCTTTGTTTGCCCCTCAAATTCTTCAAATGTCACCTTTACATTACTATTTTTTAAAAACAAAAATCCAATTATACTCTAAGTTTTGACTTCTAAATATATTTTTATTAAAATTTAAAAAATTAAAATAAATAAAAAACCAACTATACTACTATATATATTCACAAGTTTTCAGAATCTAAACTTAAAACATTATAAATTTAGCTCTATTATAAGCTTAGTTTATATAAATAGATAAATAAAGGTAAAAAAAAATTGTTGTCTTATAATTTTAGTTCAAAAATCTGATTTAGTTCACGCCTCCCGTCCAAAAAAAAATTTTCTGCTCCGCCACTGGTACTCAATATAGTAATTTGAATTTATATTATTTGTAAGATACTTTTAATTTTTTTATTATATTTTAACATAATTGTTTTTGCTACTGTCATAGTGTTCCAACCTTAGTTATAACTAGTAGATTATGTTCTATATAATGTACCCTTCTACTTTGAAATAACTGCACCACATGACAAAATTACTATAATAAAATTAAAATTCAGTAAAATTTTCAAAATATTATAAAAATAGCATAATAACATAGTAATCATCATATTTCATACCATATAATTATACAGTAACTAATTATACAGTAACTATTCTAATAAAATTTTACCATAGTAATCATCATATTTCATACCATATAATTATACAGTAACTATTCTAATAAATTTTTACCATAGTAATCATCATATTTCATACCATATAATTATATAGTAACTAATTATACAGTAACTATTCTAATAAAATTAATTTGTACTACTTTTAAAATATTCTGAAAATTTTGTTACATTTTGCCTTCATTACTTTGATTTTACTATATGTCCAAAAGAAACCTATACTTTTCCCTTTTGTAGTGGGGTACTTTACAAGAATACCATAAATTTTAGGTTTGAATTGACATATGTCAGTAAATATAAATTATTACAAAGAATGCTATAGCCAACGATATTTAAAAATCGTCAAATTCATAAAAATAAAAAATATATACACGAAAAATCACAAAACTCTCACAAAAATCCAAATATATTAAATAAAATACACAAAAATATAAGTATAATTTTTCTTATTTTAAAAAACTTAAATGACGTCTTTGTGATATATTTTATAATAGTTTTAGTATCCATGACAAAACTCAATCAAACATTAAGGGCGTGTTCGACTGTCCAAAAAAATCAAAAAAAAAAAGAAACTCGAGTTATAACTTTATTCAAGTTCATGTTCTTTTAAGTTTGAACTCAAGTTTGGGACTAAAACTCGAGTTCAAGTGTCCCCTTCAACTCGAGTTCAGAAACTCGAACTCAAATTAATGAACAATATTTTTCTATTCTTAAAAATGCTATAACTTTATTGTTTTAATCCTGATTGAGATGATTTTTTTCCTATACGTTGACAATAAAAAGAAGAATAAAACTTCACCCATATACCCTATTAAAATTTTTCATCACCATTGAGTTTTTATTAAAATACTATTTAAATACAAATTTAAGTTTTGACTCACTTAAATATAAACTCAAAAAAAGATTTTTATCTCAAACTATAACTCAAATGTACACAACCAAACACAAACTCAAGTTTTAATTTTAACTTAAATTATAACTTAAATTTAACTCAAAAACTACACTCAAGTTACACTCTAAAAGAGCAATCCCTAAAAATCATGGCATATTCATCCTCATGGTCTGGGCTATTACTTGGGGCACGTCTCGGCCCAAATAAAATGAGGTCATTCCCCAGAAGCCCATATCCCCTGCTCGGCCCATCCCCGAGCGAAGGATTTATACAGAAATTACGGAGAAAAAAAAAAGAGAAATTAGACCTCGTTTAATTTTATAAAAAATTTTAAAAAACAGTTATTATAATAAAAAATTCATAAATAAAATTATATCTTAATTCAAATTAAACACTCAAATCAACAATAACAATAAGAAAACCGAGTCGGTTAAGTTTAATGTTTGTATCTCACAAAAAATATATATAAATATTATTTTATTTTTCTGGACTTCAATTTAGGGTTTTCTTTCCCCGCTAGAAAGATTTTGGCGTACCAATCTCCTTTCCCTGTTCTACGATTATAGCTCTTTTATTTTTGTTCGTTTATTTTCCAATTGAGGGTTTCAATTTCTGAGTTTCTGTTTTCACTTCTCGATTTGTGACAGAGACAAACTCTTGAAGCTTCGAATTCAATTCGCTTTACGCTCGTCGTAATGGTATTTTGTTTTGTTTGTTTTTTTTTTCCTTCATTTTCACGTATTATTTGCTTATTTGTTCATCCATTTGTTAATATTCAATTGTACTTTCTGTTACATACTTTTATATGTTAATTTGAAGATAAATTTTTTGATTCAGTAATTTTTGGCTTTCGAATTAGACCCTGAATTAGATAACGCCATTTATATTTTGCTAATTTTTTTTTTTTTAAATTGCAGGCAACTCTGGCTGATTCTTTTCTTCAAGACCTTGACGAACTATCTGACAACGAAGAAGATTTTCATGTGAGTAAAATTTTATTTTATTTTATTTTATTTTATTTTTTCCTAAATTTTACATTTAACGTTGTTCGAAATTGTTGGTCTATGGCGAAAAGAAAGAAATCTTAGTTATGATTTTTGTTGATGTTTCAGAATGAAGATGGTGGTGATGTTGCAAACATGGAGGAAGATGTTGATGGGGACTTGGAAGACTTGGAGACTCTTAATTATGATGATCTGGATAGTGTTTCAAAGTTGCAAAAAACACAGAGATTTGTCGATATAATGCAGGTTTGTTTGTGAATGTGCTGCTATAGTATTAAACTCGGTGGATGTTTTTTTTTTTTTTTCCTTATCTAATGTAGAATTTTTTTAATAGTTGAAATTTTGGGGTTCTTGTGGATGATAATTTTTTTCAGCGTTTCTAGAAGTTGTCCCTGGAAGGAATATGTTTGTTTCAGATCTCTCTTGTACTTTGTCAGCATGGCCTTTTGTCTAATACAGTACTTAGGTTGTTATTTGACTCTTTTCTGCATTTTTTTTTTCATTATAATTCTGTAGTTTGGATGTTTTTGTGTTTTTGTCAATGGAAATATGGTTCCTTCTTGTTTTGTGGCAGAAAGTGGAAGATGCACTGCAAAAGGGTTCTGATGAATCGAATCAGGGAACGAATTTGGAAGATGATCCGGAATACCAGCTGTTAGTGGAATGTAATTCCTTGTCTGTTGACATTGAGAATGAGATTATCATTATTCACAATTTTATACGTGATAAGTATCGGCCAAAATTTCCAGAGCTTGAATCACTTGTACATCATCCAATTGACTACGCTCGAGTTGTCAAGAAGATTGGGAATGAAATGGATCTTACCCTTGTTGATCTAGAGGGGCTTGTGCCCTCTGCAGTTATAATGGTGGTGTCGGTTACAGCATCTACTACAAGTGGTAAGCCGCTTCCGGATGATGTACTTCAGAAGACAATTGATGCTTGTGATCAAGCCCTTTCTCTTGATTCGGCGAAGAAAAAGGTTCTCGATTTTGTAGAAAGCAGAATGGGATATATTGCTCCAAATCTTTCTGCTATTGTTGGGAGCGCCGTCGCAGCAAAACTTATGGGGACTGCTGGTGGTATTGGGGCATTGTCAAAGATGCCTGCTTGTAACGTTCAGCTTCTTGGTGCCAAGAGAAAAAATCTTGCTGGGTTTTCTACTGCAACAACGCAATTTCGGGTAGGATATATTGAGCAGGCAGAAATATTTCAAAGTACACCCCCTCCTCTGAGAATGCGTGCTTGCCGACTTTTAGCTGCAAAAGCGACGCTTGCAGCACGCATAGATTTGGCAAGAAGCGACCCATCCGGGAGCAAAGGAAGGGGGCTACGGGAAGAAGCCCTCAAGAAAATTGAGAAATGGCAAGAGCCTCCTCCTGCAAAGCAACCTAGACCACTTCCAGTCCCGGATTCGGAACCTAAGAAGAAAAGAGGCGGTCGTCGACTTAGGAAGATGAAAGAAAGGTAGAACAGTTTATTCACATATTCTCCTTTTTACGCTTCCTTGAGTTGTCAGTATATTTTCTTTCAATGCTGATTCACGTATTTACAGGTATGCAATAACAGACATGCGGAAGCTGGCTAATAGGATGCAGTTTGGCGTGCCAGAAGAGAGTTCTTTAGGTAACTTTTAAGCCTCGTTCAGTTAGCGGATTCGAGTTTTCAATTTAAGCTGAGATGTAATTTTATGTGATAACTTTTACTCTAACAGAAAAAGTTAGATGTGACTTTTTGTGAGAGCATATAGCAAAACTGAAATTGAAAACTCGAATAGGGAAAATGAACGAGGCCTCAATCTTTTATCGTCTTAATCATTTGGATTATATTCAAATTATAAAATGTCTAGCGTTTTATTTTATTTTTTAAACAAACCACAGGAATCACTGTTGATGTTGTTGAGTACTTAGAATATATGTATCAAGGTTCATATAAGCTTGAAGTTTATTATGTCTTTATTCTTGAAGCAAATAGTTCAATAATGCAGCTTAATAAAATAAAATTGCTGTACCTTTTCCAAGGATAACCGCTAGTATGTTGCTTCTTTTTTTTCTTTTCTGTGCACGCAATTTTCTGGAGTTTTTTTTTTTTTTTTTTTTTTTTTGGGCCCCCAATTTTTTGGGGTTTTTTTTTTTTTTTTTTTTTTTTTGGGTTACTTTAATTTTGTAGTTCTAGAAAGTAGTGGAGGGCTTTTAGTAATCTGTTTCCCATTCCGCTTACTGATTAGTTACTTGACGACAGGGGACGGACTGGGAGAAGGTTATGGAATGCTTGGTCAGGCTGGTAGTGGGAAGCTGCGCGTATCAATTGGACAGAGCAAACTTGCTGCAAAAGTTGCTAAGAAGTAAGATTTTCCTTTGCTGTTGCTTCCTGTTTATTTTTCTTTTCTTGTGCACCTTTATTTAGCCACTTCTTTTCCTTCGTCATTTCTGTTATTACGCTTTTCTTTTTCCTCTTTCTTTGCTAATGGCCACTTGTAAATGATCTCAGATGGTCAAGCCTTAAAATATATCATGTGCTGCTTGTTGTTTCCAGGTTCAAGGAAAAGAGTTACGGTAGTAGCGGTGCTACGTCTGGATTAACTTCAAGTTTAGCGTTTACACCTGTGCAGGTAATTTGTGCTTTTTACGTTACGCATGAACTCATCCTTTCGGCTTGTTTTATAATTTATAGTTATCTCTCAGTAATTTAAGTTTATGTTTTAACTCATCCTTTCGGCTTGTTTTATAATTTATAGTTATCTCTCAGTAATTTTAGTTTATGTTTTTCCTCCCTTCTGGCGCCTTCTCTTTAGTGGGGTTTAAATTCGAAGAGAAAAATTAAAACATAAAAAACAACAAGTTTCTTTTTTTTTTTTTTTTTTTTTTTTTTTTTTTTTTCAGGGGATTGAGCTCTCGAATCCACAGGCTCATGCACACCAGCTTGGCAGTGGTACTCAAAGCACCTATTTTTCAGAAACAGGAACATTCTCGAAGATCAAGAGGACGTAAACCATATGGGATAAACTGACTATATTGCCTATGTTGGTCAGTTCTCAAATCCGTATACCGAAAGTCATGGTTGACCTAGTTGGTTGTGATTATATTATATACAGTGTTAATCATGGTGGATAGTATGGTTATGATATTCGACTAGTTTTGTTGATACCTAATAATGGTTTCATAATTTCTTCTCGGCGTAGTACATTTTTGCGTTTTCTTTTATAAAAGAGTAACAGGTTGGGTATTCTTTTTCGCCCATCATTTTGTTATTTGCCCCATATGAATTAGTTGATTATAGATTGTTCAAGTTCATACAAGCCATGCGTGAGAACTTATAGAAGTTTCTTGCATTTTTTGCTTGGTTTTATTGGGTTGTTATTTATTTGCTTTTTGGGCGTGGGACTTGGAAGTTTTGATGTTTTTATATCCTTGAAATTACCGAGCGAAACTTCCTTCTCTGCCCATTCCAAAACCATACATTGTTAATTGTTGCATCGACGTAATAATAACGAATTGCTGTCCCTCCACCGGGTTAGTGATGGAAGTTGAAACTTCATCAGATTAGCTTACTTCATCGACGTAATAATAAATTACCAAAGATTTCATTTGTTGTTAGCATATGATTAGTTCGTTCTCTTTATTTATTTATTTATTTTTTAATTTTCTCTCTCATTCATTAATAAAAAATCAATATATATATATATATATATATTGGTTATTTCTAGTCTTTGAGTTAATTGACGAGGTCATGTTCATCTGGGATGTGCTGTTCTTCTTGGAAGTGCTTTGTCTTCTCAAATTCAAATGCTAATTTCAATGCCATGTTTGACATAAAAAAGTGGCATATTTGACATCAAAAAAGTGCAAAACCATTATGTTATTTTTTATTTATACTCCAATGCATAGTTCTTATTTCAAATGTTAAATTTATATTTGATTGTAAACAAGTTTTCTTGAAAGTTGTAAAAATTAATTTTTAACTTTATGATAATTTGACCAATAGCAATCAATCAAGCCATCAAGTATAGAATGTAATAAAATTAGTATAAAAGATAGCACTATATTAGAGTAATTTTCTTACTTAAATGTTAAAATCATCCACGTACTACTTTAATATTGTATTGATGATGTTCTAAGAATATTCACACCTGCATCCGGCAATTAATAACACTGTGGTTGCCTTCAAAAAATAAAATTGCAGTGCATAAACTGTATAATGATAATTAGAGTTTATAAAAATTCGTGGATGATTAGTTTATTGCTAAATTATAAAACATCACAGCAAATTATTGCATTTTTTTTCCTTCCCGATTAGTTGGTGCCATTTATATGTTGGTTTGGAACCGCCGTGTGCTTCACTATAATTCAGTTTGAACGGTGAGTACAGTTTAAACTTGCGTTTAGTAAGTATGCAGTCTGAATTATATTCCCGTTTGAAATGAGTTAAACTGTTAAACTAAGAGTTTGGCTCTCCCTTAAATTCAACTGTTCAAATTATTTTTAAACAGTAAAAAGGTGCATACTTTATCTGCTTTTCAAACCTACTAAACATAAATTTAAATTTTATTATCTATTCAGATTAAAATTTTATCTGCACATTCAAATGTCAATTTAAACAACACAACTTGAATTTTTATGTTCAAATAAAAAGTTCAAATCGATAAAATTTGAAACAGTGAACCAAACGTACCACCCTTTGGAAAAATACTTCTTTAGATTTACGCTCCAACTTTGAAATGTGTTATTTTTTTAGTTATAACTCGGAGTTGTTGCTTATTTTAAGCTTAGCTACAACATGTAGGGGTCAACAAATGCTTCTCACTGTAAATAAATTAATTAGGCAGTAAATGTTATATATATATTCTCATTAGAGTAGTTGCTCAAAAGCAAGAGAACAATAGGGAAAAAAAAGTAGAGCGATTAGTTAAAATTTTAAAGAAATTGACAAATTTAACCTTCTTGTGTGTGCATCATGTGCTAATATGTCTAAAAAATAGCACGTTTATAAGTTCAAGGGGAGAATTTAGAGACATTATACATTTGCGGGAAAATATGTACGTTTCAAAACTCGGGGCTATCTTTATACAAGTAGGGAGTTTGAAAAATTTATCTAAAAATAGGGAAGACACCAAAATGTATTTTCTTATTTGTAGTTATAATTTGATTGGACACTTGTACTTGAGTAGTCTTCAATCATAATACAAAATGCCTATATTAATCCTAAATTTTAAGATACTGTGTAAAGATATAAATAATTTTCGCACGAATGAAGTTGCAATACATGATAAAAGACGCGACACATAATAAGGAGATATGATAGTAAAAATATAGAAAAATAATCTTATACATTAGTATATTATTCCGTCCAGGTTAATGCACGCCAAAAGTTTTGGGATTTCACAATTTTTTCCTGCTTATACAATGTGATTATCTGTACGGGTATATAAATATTTGTCCTAGAATTCACGAGGGCATGTTCTTTTGTCTATAAAATTAAAAAAAAAATACAACTCAAGTTTCAACTTTATTTAAGTTCACGTTTTTTAAGTTTCAATTTTATTCAATTTTACTCAACTTTATTCAAGTTCTAACTTCAACTCAAGTTATAATTTAAATTTAACTCAAAAACTACACTCAAGTTACACTCTAAAAGAATAACTCTCTAGATTCTTGTTTAATAGAGTTCCAAGAAAGGAAGAACAATTATTTAAACGTGGCTTTAGGCTTAGCTGGTGAAGATAATAATTTTATCAGACAAATCACTAGTCATCAACTTCAACGCATTCTGTATTTGTATTCTATCCTCAGATTTTGCCGTAAGGAGCTCCACAGAACGTGATAACTAATGTAGGAAAAGAAACAATTATTTAAGCACGGCTTAGCTGGTGCAATTAATAAAATCTGTCGAGACATACATCGCTTGATTAGATAGCAAGTTCAACCCATTTTTAATGATATTCTATCATTAATCTTCATTAATAAATTATGATTATTTTGGTAGAGATTTTTTTAGTAGGCACTAAAAAGATAAATTACCGAGAAATTTTTGTCTTTAACTGTCATATTTATATTAAAAATTATCTGGTGTGATTTAACTAGATCTAATGTTCAGAAACTAAAAGGCCTTACATAGAAAGATCCTATTTCAATACGTGTATCTTTAGGTTTAAACTTATCCGAATTTTAACATTTTATTGAGGTCTTCTCTCCGTATAGAAGACTATAAAAAAAGGGTGAAAGCTGACTTGAAAAAGGTGGAGTTTTTCTTCTAATGTTATCTGTTGGTTTGGATAATAATTAGAAATGTCAACACTCAACACATAAGAACCCGCCAAATTCAAAATTCTAATTTTTTCCCTTCTCCAAGCTTGTATGTCAAATGACGCTAATCATTTATCAAGCAAAAAATAAATAATTAAGTCCTAATCATTTTAATAAGTATATAACTTATTTAGTATATAGTTAGTCTCATCTCACCATTTTTCTTGAGGTTTCCTATCCTATCAATGACTATAACACAAAAAAAAAAAAAATTAAGTCCTAATCATTTTAATAAGTATATAACTTATTTAGTATATAGTTAGTCTCATCTCACCATTTTTCTTGAGGTTTCCTATCCTATCAATGACTATAACAAAAGCTTTTAGACTGAGCTACAATACAAATTATTTTGAGATGTAACGTGCAAGTTATTTTTTAGAAGTTAGATTGAAAGTTTTAATTGTCCTGATAAGACGCAGACCAACTTTTAGAGGATGTTTGGTTCATGAATTTAGAATCATTCTCGTTTTATGTGAGAGAAAAACACTATAAAGAATCATGAATCATGATTTAGAATTAAAGACAAATACAAAAAATAAACGTTCTCTTAATGACTTAGATTGGTTTAAGCATCATCAAATAGCTGAAAAATGGATTGCGCGGTGCATCTCAAAATAACAGGTTGTACTGCAATTTCAAAAACTTGACATAAATTTAAACTTATCAAGTTTCGAAAATAATATAACTTGCATTGAATAACAGTAATTAACAATGTCAATTAAAAAGTGGTTTGAACTACAATTTAAATTTTTTTGTTACAAAATTTTTTCTAACATGAAATTTGTCAAAACGGACGAATCTTAGAGGCATTTTGACAATGGTCATATATACAAGCTGGTTTCCACAAAAGCTCACACTTTAACCAAAAGGTGGTAAGAGAAATAGTTAGGACGAAACATAAGTTTAAAAAAAACAAAACAAAATTTATGAAAAAAAAAAAGACACTCTTATCTCATTTTGAGAGATCACGTTGAGTAGGTAGGAGGTGATTTGCCCATCATTTTGGGGTCAGCCTCTGAAATCATAGAGATGCTCTTCTATTATTATATTATAAAAAAGAAAAGAAAAAAAATACTTCCAAATATCTCGCAATAACAATATCAAACCCCAAATCTCTGATAACGATTTCCCATTGATCATAACATCATATGCTTGTGTGTGTACATATATATATATATATATATACATTTGATATATACACATTTGACAAAGCAACAGAGAGACAGAAGAGAGGAAGAGACTAAAAGAGAGTTTTTCTTTTTTCTTTTATATTTTCATTTGGTTAAACATGGCGGCTTTGAAGATGTCCTCTTTTCTCTCAAGCTCACTTTGTTCTGCTTCTCGTTCTGCTTTGTTTCTCAAAGGTATATCTTTTATTATGGTGGTTCATTTTCATTTTTTTTTAATCTCTCTCGTTGTCATAGTTATGTTCATGGTTTTTTAAACTCTTTTCCTATTCTGGGCAATGGATCATAAAATGATTGGTACTTAGATTTGTAATCTTATTTATAAAAAAAAGGGTGTGGGAAAGATTCAAAGTTTTAACCTATCGCAATAGTTAAGGTCATTTTTTCCAAATAGCTTAAATGGGGTTTTCCCCTTTTTTTTGAATATTTGAAGAAGTTGATTTTACAATTCTAGATATACCGCATATTTAACATTAAATGGAGTAATAAATGCCTATTTCACTTTTTGTGTTCTTACTATTTAACACTCATTGGATTACATACTTTCCCACTTCTGACTTTTAAGGAATAATAGTAATTAATGCTCATTTCATTTCTAGCTTCGTTAGATACTTTGCAATGGAAGGGGGAAAAAAAATAGGGCACTCTAATGCAGAGAATTTTCTACAGTACTTACACCTGGGACTTGTTCACCAAAATCTAGAGGCTCATTATTCTTATTTATTTTACTTTCTTTGATATTTCTCTATCAGGAAGGACTCCTTTTGCAGTAAGAGCAGTTGCTAATTATGGCACTGCTGCTGCTATTGAGGAGCCAATCAAGCCATCTGTCAGCATTGAGCACACTAAGCTTTTGATCAATGGGCAATTTGTGGATTCAGTATCAGGTGAGGGTTTTTTTTTTTTTTTTTTTTCATACATTTGAAGTTTGTTCTCTCAAATTTTGGACAAACAAGGCATTTTCACAAACATTAGCATTTAATTGCATTTAATTTTGGTGTTATTGTTGTCTCAGGCAAAACCTTTCCAACATTTGACCCCAGGACCGGGGAGGTGATTACACATGTTGCCGAAGGCGGTAAAGAAGACGTAGACCTCGCTGTGGCTGTTGCTCGAAAGGCATTTGATGAGGGACCGTGGCCAAAGATGACTGCCTATGTAACTATATTTTTCTTCCTTGTTTTATTTGTTTCTATGGCTTTAGTCCAACAACCGCTTTTAATTTCTAACGACGTCTATGTATTTACACAGGAAAGGTCGCTAGTACTCTTGCGTTTTGCTGATTTGCTGGAAAAGCATACGGAGGAACTTGCGAAACTCGAGACTTGGGACAACGGGAAGCCATATGAACAGGCTCTTAATGTCGAACTGCCTATTTGTGTACGTCTAATCAGATACTATGCAGGTATTTCTGGTTTAGATTGCTTAATGGCTTCCTTCACTACAGTTGGATGCTCCACAAAATTCTAAGCTGCCTATTATGCCTCAGGTTGGGCGGATAAGATTCACGGCTTGACAGCTCAAGCCGATGGACCGCATCATGTGCAAACACTGCACGAACCAATCGGTGTTTGTGGCCAGATTATTCCATGGAACTTTCCACTGCTCATGTTTGTTTGGAAGGTGGGGCCTGCTTTGGCGACTGGAAACACTATTGTTCTGAAGACAGCGGAGCAGACTCCACTGTCTGCAAACTTCGCTGCAAAGCTCTTACTACAGGTAAAGAGAGCTCATGGTTATATACTCTTTATTTTTCAATCTTTTTACTCCCCTAATATGTTCACTTTTCAACTACATTTGCCTCTAAGCTGCTCGCATCTGTTGCATCTGCGAATGAATGACCGATTATGGATATTAAAAAGTTAATTCCTTGACAGGCTGGGCTTCCTGATGGCGTTCTCAATGTGATTTCTGGTTTCGGTCCAACTGCTGGAGCACCTCTTGCCAGTCATATGGATGTTGACAAGGTATTAGCACTTACCAACTTTTGATTTTATACAATTAACTCACTCTCTTTCCTGCTAACATATGTAAATGGGTTTCTTTGCAGCTTGCTTTTACTGGTTCAACTGAGACTGGTAAGATTGTACAGTCACTAGCTGCGCAAAGCAATCTTAAACCGGTCACTTTGGAGCTTGGCGGAAAATCCCCCTTTATCATTGCGGCTGATGCTGATGTAGATCAGGCTGTTGAGCTTGCACATTTTGCACTATTCTTCAATCAAGTATGTGTTATTTTCTTGCTATTAGCACTATAGAAAGTTCGATTCCCATAGAACACCCAAAAAAAGAAAAACATTTTGTGATGACCATCCTGTCTCTCTGCAGGGACAATGCTGTTGCGCTGGTTCTCGTACATTTGTACACGAGAGCATATATGATGAGTTCGTGTCAAAAGCAACAGCGCGAGCTATAAAACGTACGGTTGGAGATCCATTCAAGGCAGGCATTGAACAAGGTCCTCAGGTAAAAATCAACAACTCAACCTTTTCAAAAGCTTTGAGGAAGCCTCGGCTGAATCTTGATGGGGGAAACAAATGGGTGTTCAATCTTGTAGACTAATGTATCACTTCACAGCCATAGAAAATATGTTCCAAGAAAATGAATTTTCTATTTGAACCGGCAAGCCTTTAGTAATGACACTCGTTGATCCTTTTACTTTGATGGATCAGATTGATCCAGAACAATTTGACAAGGTCCTGAGTTACATAAAGTCTGGAAACGAAAGTGGAGCTACACTGGAAACTGGAGGAAACAGAATTGGCTCAACGGGTTACTTTGTGGAGCCCACTGTTTTCTCAAATGTCACGGTAAAGCGTTTATCTTACGTCCCAAGTAACCATTTTTTCACCGAAGCTGCTTGAACTATGAGTGTCTCTAACTGACATTACTGTCTCATTTCTTAAGGATGACATGAAGATAGCAAAGGATGAGATATTTGGCCCAGTTCAGTCCATCTTGAAATTTAAGTGAGTAAACCATAGGGCGCGTTTGGAATTCGTTCCAAAATAATTTTATTTTTTGTACGAAAATGAAAATGAAAACGTTTTCTATCTCAGACAGAAATTATTTTTGAAAATGAGTTTGGTAGTTTTATTAAGAGATTGTTTTTAGTGTAAAAAAATCAATTAATGTCTCACTTTCTCTCTATTTGCTCGAGAGAGGAGAAAACGAAAATAAAAAATGAAAAACGACTAAAAGTCGTTTTTTATTTCTCTTTTATTTTACACTAAACTAAAAAATCGTTTTCATTTCCGTTTTTTGTTTTTATTGCGCCAAACGCCGTTTTAAAAACGTTTTCATTTTTTCTTTCTCAAAAAACGTGAAAAATAAAAACGGGATCAATTCCAAACACGGCCATAATGACTGTGTATATTGGTTATTAGTATAATTTCCTGCGTTTGTTTTGGGACTAACAACTTTGGCAACCTTTTGTAGGGATCTTGATGAGGTGATCAGAAGGGCAAATGCCACTCGCTATGGGCTTGCTGCTGGGGTATTTACCAAGAACATCGACACTGCTAACACCCTCACCCGTGCATTGCGTGTCGGTACCGTATGGGTCAATTGCTTTGATGTCTTTGATGCCGCAATTCCTTTTGGTGGCTACAAGATGAGCGGAATTGGAAGAGAAAAGGGAATTTACAGTCTCCATAACTACTTGCAAGTGAAGGCTGTTGTCGAACCTCTCAAGAACCCGGCATGGCTATAAGTTCTTTGACCCTGGCCTTCTCTTGGTTTTTTTGTTTTTTTTCTATTTTCTCTCTTGAAGGCATTGTCAAAATAAAGAGTTGCATCATCAAGTAACGAAGTGTGAGTTCAATGGCAATGGTGATAAAAGTATGCGTTGTTTTAGTAATGAAGTACAAATAGTACAAATCTGAACTTGTTGCATGCTTCCCTTGATTAAAATCTTTCAACAGTTTATGATTGATCCGAACAAGCTTCTTTACTTATCTCTCTCTTCTTCATTGGGATAAATAATATTCTCTTTTTAACTGAGGGGAAAAGATTCAAAGTCTTGATCTTAACATTTAAAGGCAGGGTATGAATTTACCATTACTAGAGTTAGAACAAGATTACTACTACAATTTTCATTTGACATTATTTTATTTCTGCTGAAACGAAGAAGATTACTTATTCAATCTGCTAGTAACTTCCACGATTTTTTCCATGCAAAAAAAAATTAAAAAATTAAAAATTAAAATTAAAATAAAAAACAAGCTTTGAGATTACATGGTTCTAGTTAATGCATGGTTTTCTTCAATTTTATTTCTTTGCTAATCAAGATTTCCGATGGAATCACGGAAGGTAAACGCCGACAAAACAACTGCCAAATGTTTCACTGTCGTTTGTTCAGAACCCAGGCTGTGGACCGTATAAACGCGTAACCGTCTGTGCTACATATGGTTTACTTCTGTAACAAATCTTAATTAGAAACAGGAGTTTTTTTTGTTAGTCAATTTGTAGAATAGAATCATTTTGATATCCTTTATTATAACAAAATATTTTATTAATACTATGCATTTTTAATAATATTAAAACGGTATCTTCAATTTTTTTTTTAAAAATATCCTTTTGATATCTTAAGGCTTGGATAAAGTTTTAAGACATAAAATGTCCATTTTACCATTCTTACAAATTAACAGCACACTAATATTTTTTGAAAAAAAGTTACGACAATACTTTAAAACATTCAAAATTAAAAAATCAAAGTAAGTTAACATGTTTTTAGAAAATATCTTTAAAAATGTTAAAATGCTATAACATTGGGTACAAAAATAATTTTATCTCATTATTATATACTTTAGTTTACTCTTATGGTTTGAGTTTTTCCTCCCTTAAAATTAAACTAAGATATTTTATTCAATTTTAGCGCCTCAATTGGTGTGTAACCAATCATATTAAGATACGTCGTATAAAAAATTTGAATTGCATTTTAACTAGCTCTTTTATACTTATGATGGGATGATGTGGTGTAATTTGATTGGTTGGACATCAATTAAAACATCAAAATTTAGACAAAATCTGAATCCCCAAAACCCTACCTTTCTTTCTTCTTTTCTTTTTTACTTATATATAAGAATACTTTTAGAAATCATACGAAGTCCCTTTGAAAAATTGAAAATACAATCTTGTACTCTTGAATTTTTGTTGTAGTTATTAATCCTCTCATAAAAGAGTGATCCTATCGAGTAATCCTGTTGGTCCCCATCGGGTTTTCACCCCATCCATGTGGCAGTACCAATTGATGAGAATCATACATCTCAAGACTCGAGATATTTTTTATTAACAAAAGTCTGCGAAAAATCTTAACCAGCAATCAAGTTCAAACCTCATACTTTTATTAGTGTTAACTACTAGAAGTTTCACACTAGTCCACCTTGCTACTCAAAATTGCAGTTAGTTCCTTTTTCTTACTTAAGCTACTATAATTGGTACTTATAAACAAATGTTTCACTTTTCTTTTCTTTTGACCTAATAGTTTCACGTTTCTCTAGTTTCATGCTCCTATAAAAATGAGCATGCAAGTCTCAAAAGTTACGATTTTGAGCCCTTCGGTGTTAAGAATTAGACGCACTAATTCTTTATTATCGAGAGTAATAAGATTATAAAAAAATCAAACAAAAAACAAACATGTAAAATTTATAGAGGTTCATCTCAATGTGTGACTACTTTTCGTTTTCAACCACTACAGTATTTCACTATATTAAATAAATAGTTTACTAGGAAAAAAAAAACACACCTCACAACACTTTATGCAACTTCTCTAATAATAACTCAAATCTACGCCACCCTTTTACAATGAAAACTAGATCAATCCAATAAACCCTCTGCATAAGACATTAATTGTTAGGCACAATTTAACATTTCCTACCTTGAGTTAGAAAGAGAGAGAAAAGAGTAATTAAATTTGATTTCTATTGTTTCTTCAATCTTCTTCTATATATCAATGTAAATAATCTCATAGTGGTTATTTTTTACAGTGTAATTTATTGTCCCACCTCCATAAAAAAGAATCATTAAAATACTTATACAATAGCCCTAAAAAAAAAAAAAAAAAGAGTCGTCACTTGCATTCTGGTGGTAAGACTTTGAACCTTGAAACATCCTTACAATAAGAGTAGAACATGAGCTTACTTCTGGCCCAATCCAGAGCCCGGGCCTGTTCCTTGGACAAGGTAGCGAATTCCTGTCCCTCAACTGGGTCCAAGTTGGAAGGGCTGGTCTTGGAACACGTGCCTGTCGGATTGGATACGACACAACCACTCATTTCCACGTCAGCAAACGACACCACAAAAGGCGCGTATTTGTAGTTGACAGGATATTTCCCACCATGAGTTGCCCATTCGGATCCGTCCCATATTGTGGCGTAAACAGACATGGGTTTTGACGGGAAAACTGAAGGGTACGCGCTGTTGCGCTGATACTCTCTTACAGGAATGTTGTCCACCATAAACCTACAGTTTTTGTAAAGGTTAAAATAAGAAAAAAACTAATTTATAGGAGTATTGACCATTTAACAGGTTGATCAATGTAAACCCAAGTCTTTAGAAAATTCAAATTACACATTAGATTTTTCGTCTCTATATGTGAGAAAGAACAAAAGAGAGTGCAAACTTTGCAAATTTAAATTGTAAGATAAGATACTACTCTGAGACTAAAGGGATGTTTGGTTAGAGGATTTAAACAATGATTTGAATTATGATTTATGGTTCACTACAATATTTTTTCTCATAAAAAATACACGTAAATCGAAAATAATTCTAATAACATGATTCTAATCTATGAACCAAACGTCTCCTAAGTTGAAAGTTTAGAACTTTAAGCTAATAGGAGGTTGGTCTACTTTTAAGATTGTTTTGGAGGAAAAATGTGAGAATTCTTTGATATGTCTTAGAAAGAATGTAATATATTTTGACAATATGTCGTAATTTTAAATCATAAAATTTTTATGGGGTTTTGTTTAAGTTCCAAGTTTTTAAAGAGAGCGCTTTTATTTATTATTTTATTTAAGCATCATCATACATCGTATTAATAAAATATACATGTCTTATCATAAAAGATAATACTACTAAAATCCTGCCCATGTTGTTATATCTTAGTTTTGATGCATTGATGTATATGTGATGATTGCATCAATCATTGTGGTAAATAACATATTTTTTCGTTCAGGAAAAAAAAAGTATAATTAAAAAAAAAAACATTTTTTTTCCCAAAGTTGAGACAGTTGAGTTTTTTTTTTTTTTTTTTTTTTTCCTTACACAATGTGATGGTTGTTCCAAAGGATGCTGTACTGGTGGTGCTCCGCAGTTGGGTCAAACCAGAGGTAGAATTTCTCTTCTCTTCCTGTGCTGACGCTTCCATTTGCGTATATGTTTGTTTGGAACGCCCAGTCGTTTCTCTTGTCGTGGCCGAGTAGTTCTATGTCGATTTCGTCGTGATTATGAGGATAAACATTTGCATTAGACAGCTGCAATTTCCCATTTTTTTTTGTTAGACACGTTCTACTTCCAATTCTCGTGCTTAAATACTTGCATATTTTTAGTCCACGAATCTCCAAATTGTACATATGTGTGTACTTCATCATGTCATGTAAAGATATCTATAAACTTGCTATAAATAATAAACTTACATAAAATGCCGCTACAACTCCGGGAGAGAGGCCAGATGGTAGTTTAATTGCAGCACTGAAAAATCCATAGTAGTATTCGTTTTTTGAAGCTAATCCAGATCCTGTACCAAGAAACCAGAAAATTATGCATGTCTAACAGTAATTACACACCTGACGCGATCACAATGATAGAGTTCAAATCAAGTTATAAAAAAAATAAATAGATAAATTATCAAATGTAAGTTCATTCGACTGTATTTTCCTGAGGATTTGTCAAGAGCAAGAGTTGCCATGGATCCATTGCCAGTCAGCTGGAAGTTTTTGGCTCCAAAGATGTTGGAAAAGCCATTACTGATAGAAACATGAGGGAAGAGATCTGTCAAGTGAGGAACACTTGGAGGCGTGTATTGCCTATTGCGGGGGCGTGCGGAAAGCGATGTCGTGGCGCAAAAGATTAAGAGAACAAAGATGAGTAGTTTATCTTGTGAAAATGCCATTTTTATTGGCGGGTAGATTGTGGATGAAGGAGAGAATGGTGGATGATATGGCTATTTATTAGGAGGTTTTAGGGAGGCTAATATCATAATCTTGCTTGGTTGTTAATTAGCTGGCTGTGCCTTTCCTAACATATCATTTTTATTAGGCGTTTTGCACCTTTTTGGGAATAATCAGAAAAGATGATGTGAAATGGATTTAAAGGAGTTTTGAAGGACTTGCTGTGGGGATTTCTCTCAAAGGTCTTTTTTTCTGTTGTAAAGAAAACAGTCACTTAGGGGCGGTTCGGGGAGCTAGTTTTTGAGTGAAAAACTCAAAAAAATATAACTCGAGTTATAATTTTATTCGAGTTCATATTCTTTTAAGTTTGAACTCGAGTTTAGAACTAAAACTCAAGTTCAAGTTTCCCCTTCAACTCGAGTTCAGAAACTCAAACTCAAGTTAATAAATAATATTTTTTCTATTCTTAAAAATGCTATAACTTTTTCGTTTTAATTCTGATTGAGATGATTTTTTTTCTATGCGTTGACAATGAAAAGACGAATAAAACTAGACCCATATACCCTATTAAAATTTTTCATCAACATTGAGTTTTTATTAAAATACTATTTAAAAATAAATTTAAGTTTTGACTTACTCAAACACAAACTCAAAAAAGATTCTTATCTCAAATCATAATTCAAATGTATACAACTAAACACCTCTTCGTTCGTTTCGCTGATTCGAGTTTAGAATTCGAGTTGAGATGTGATTGTATGTGAGAGCTTTTTACTGTAGCAAAAAAGTTAGATGTGATTGTTTGTGAGAGCTTTTTACTGTAGCAAAACTCGAATTCTAAACTCGAATCAGCGAAACGAACAAGGTAAAGTTACAACTTCAACTCAAATTATAACTCAAACTCAACTCAAAATCTATAATTAAATTACCTAACTCAAAAATATCAAAAGAACAAACCCTTAAATTTCTATGGACATTTTCTTTCCTCAAGGGTCCCACAAGAATGCCATTTTCTTCTTGCGGTTGTTATTCAATGCAACAATAATCATGGGCATAAGGCAATTAATTTTAGTCCAAAATGGTTCACTTTTCCTCAAGTTGCAATTATGCGAACGCTAGTGTCTGACTCATCTAAGGTAGACCGTTTTGTTTGTTTCATCTTTCAGTCTCTTTTTCCTTTTTATCTTTTTTAGGAGATTTATGCGTTCGGTATGAAGAAAAAAAAAAAAACTAACATTAGGATATAGTTTTGATTTTTGAACTATCTTACCACATTAGAATCACATTATCTAAAGAATTTAATGGAATATGGTAAGGTGAATTCCCTTTTTTCCCAAACAATTCAAAGATTATTGGGCAAGATGATGAATCTTCTAAAACACACTTTCGTCATTATATATATATATATTTCACTTCCTTTGCGGTTGTTTTCTATGTGCACTGGAGGGCAACTTTTGGTGTAAAATACTATCCCTATAAAGGAAGTCACCTGAAAGTGATTGATAATAAAACTATTGGAATGCCTTTTAAAATCTATAATAGACAAGTTTTTTATGGAAAATAAATTTTGGGTAGTGACAAGAAATGTCTCTATTTCATGACAAAACCAGATTTGCCAGAAGTGCTTGGGCTGGCTATGATAAATATTTGATATGACAGGGCACAAAATCAGACGCGTTGTTCAATAAAAAGGCCATGCCACTAGCGCGGAAAAGATTGGCAACTGCATCTGCACCTTCCTTGTCTATATTCTTCAACTTGATTTGTGTGTAACAGAAAAAAAAAAAAAAAAAAAAAATTCATTGACATTACTGAGGAAAACAGAGCATCCTCTGAAATCTCAGCCAGCCTGTTTGGTGGGCTGGTGTCTGATTTCTCCACAATAAAGCCAAAGGGTTGGAGAGTGTTGTAGAGAAATGGTAGAGAGGATCTAGTTTTGCTCGAAAAAATCTTAAGGTACCACATATCACAGAAGACACGTCTCATATGTGGGTCTCATGCTACGGCATTCATGTTCTATTAGAGGATATAGCACTACCGTTGTCTTATAGTATTGATATTTTCTAAAGGTCGATTTCACATCATGGCCCCAAAAAGAATTTATGAGAAGCTCTTTTCACTTTAGGCCCCTCAAAACTAGGTAAGTGGTTTGATCAGTTGAGGCCCACGAGAGGAAAGTCTGTTTTTTCCCTTGCAAGTTACATGCACCTGTCAATGAGACACATACCTAGAGAAAAGATTTCCAACACCTTTGCACATGATTTTGCTTTCAGGTGATGACAATCAAGTCAACCATGTCAAAGCACCACTTGGTTTAAGTTAAGGGTCGTGTCGGAGGTCTAACTCATGGCATGCAGTTTGTTTGCAAGTATATATCATGTAATTTTGCAATTTTAACGTTCAAGATTCACAAGTATATCTCTCTTTCATGTAATTTACGACACTAATACTGAAAAACTTTTTAATTGTTCGCAAGTATTCCACCCCGTTTTGTAATTCCAACATTCAAGTTGCAATGTACATCGTTTTCGTATTAATGCAATACAATAGAACAATTTAGCTGGTTGCTGCTTGTATTCTTCTAGTGATCAAAACGAAAAGGAAACGACATTATTGCATATAGAAACGACGCAAGAACGTTTTTATATTGCCTGCAGATTATTATTCTGTGTATGGCGGGGAGAGCAAAGAACTTTTTTAACTTATTTAATAGTCCCCTTCGTCCACCAACAGATATGAAATATTTATTCTTATATATTGTATTTAAACTATTGGAAGAGTTTATAAAAAGAAAATTATTGGAAGGGAAAGCCTTCGAATAAGTCTGGACTGGAGTGACTAAGGGGCTGTTCCGCAGTCTCTTTTTTTAGTTAAAAACTTAAAAAAAATAACTCGAGTTATAACTTTATTTAAGTTCATGTTTTTTTAAGTTTGAACTCGAGTTTAAGACTAAAACTCGAGTTCAAGTTTCCTCTTCAATTCGAGTTCAGAAACTCAAACTCAAATTAATAAACAATATTTTTTCTATTCTTAAAAATGCTATAACTTTTTCGTTTTAATTCTGATTGAAATGATTTTTTTCTAGGTGTTTACAACGAAAAGACGAATAAAACCCCACCCATATACCCTATTAAAATTTTCCATCAGCATTGAGTTTTTATTAAAATACTATCTAAATACAAATTCAAGTTTTGACTCACTCAAACATAAACTGAAAAAGATTCTTATCTCAAACCATAACTCAAATGTACACAACCAAACACAAATTCAAGTTACAACTTCAACTCAAGTTATAACTCAAACTCAACTCAAAATCTACACTCAAATCACCTAACTCAAAAAGGGTAAAAAAACAGCCCCTAAGATGTGTAAAATCTAGGAGAGACCATCTTTAACAATTCCCCTTCTATGTCATCCTTAAGCAAAGGTTAAATAAAATAAAATAAAAGTTTTTGGCTATCAGTCCCTAAAATTTTCAAAAATTGATAGTTTGGTCTCTAAATATTTTTGCCCTGATTACTCCCTAAACTAGATATTTTTACAAATTTAGTCCCTAACCACTAGAATTGGCAGTGGATTCTTAAATTTGATGGAGGTTGTACGAGCCCATCATGTAAAACTTGATTTGTAAAAACCACATGATGAATGGTCTGATTTTCAAGTAGGGATGTAAGTAGGCCGGGTAGGCTCGGGTTGAGCCTAAAATTTTGGCCGAGCCACCACATTTGGGGTGAGGAAAATTTGAGTCGCAACACTGTATTTGGCTCACAAACCCGTAAACCTTCGGGTTACCTCGGGTAGGCTCAGTTTTGCGGGCTGGGAGGAGTTAGGCCTGGATGTTTGACTCCATTTTTGCACAATCGTATCAGAGATTTCCATAAATCTGATGTTGCTCAATGAGGAGACAACAATGACAAATATTCTTCTCTTTTCATTTATTTATTTTAAGAAAATTCATTTTCTTTTCGTGGATCTACTATGAAACATTTTTTGATTATCTCACCGGAAAACACGAGAATCAATCTCTTACTTACCGCGAGGTTCAATATTTCTAGCTGCGAGGTTCAGCATTTCTAGCGGCGAGGTTCAGTCTGAGGACTAAGGAAGTGAGAGGGAGATAGGTTGAGCTTGAGAGCCTTTGGCTCTGCTCTAAGAAGCAACGGCGAGGGAGTAGGGATGGCGACTCGGCGAGTGTGAGAAGAAAAAGAGGAACCGCGTCAGAGAGGGAGGCTAGCAGAGAAAGAGACTGAGAAGTGAGAGAGACTGAAAGAGAAAGGCTGAGGACTAGGAGCTACTGAGCGGCACAAAAAGAGAGAGGTGAGAGTGAGATATCGAGAGTTAGGACATTGGGGTTTTTTTCCACTGATCTCATCGGTCGGCTCGGGGAGTATCAGGCCAAAAGAAGCCCGTCCTGCGGCCCAATCAACCCGTCATGTGCGGGTTGGGCTTATTTGAATCTGAAAAAAAAAAAAAAAAAAAAAGAAATCCACAAATTTCGGGTAAGGTTAGTTCGGGTCGGGCGGGTTAGTTAGGTTCGGCCCAAATTCTTACAACCCTATTTTTAAGAGTTTTTAAAGACATTGAAGAAAATATTTTTACATTTTTTTTTATACAATACGGGATTAAACCCACGACTCCTCATCTACACCACCTCACTCAAACCCCCAAGTACCACTAGAAGAAGAGGTCTTAGGCAATATTTTTACATTTTATGTGATCGTTTTTGTAAATTTCTACTTATATAGTGCGTTTGACGTATGATCATCTCTATTGGCTTTTAAAATACATATTAATTTTACGGTTAAGGATCAAAGCTGTAAAAGAAAATTAAATTCAAACACTGATCAAGAAAAAAAAAATTGGAAACCAAATTAACACTATTGTAATTAATAGTTTAAGGACTAACAAGTAACAACATTAAAACCCTATAAACCATAAATTTATGTTCTTCATAAGGAAAGTGCGATATTAAATAAAAAAATATTCAGCACAAAATATTAAATAAAAATAGAAAGAAAAAGAATCCAAGCCCATTCACCAATATCAATTCAGCTTAAAATTAATATACAAGTGCCGTACAATTCTCTTCTGTTGCATGTGAAGTTCAAATGTTATGAGTATTTTCAAGTTTCATCTATTTGCAGGGAGTATGTAAGAAAATTTTTTATGAAAAAAAAGTGTTTAGACCAAAAAAAAAAAAAATTAAATAAACACATTAATGATAAATAACAAAAAAAAATAAAAAATAAAAGAAACGCGCTTCTTGTTACCTTTAAACGTCTCCTTACCGCAATACATTTGACTAAAAGATATGTAAAATCTAAAAGAGACTATTTTTTACCAATTCTCCTTTGATATTATCCTCAAGAAAAGGTCAAGTAAATAAACTCTATAATCTCATTTACTTTACGAATTTGAGTTTTTAATTCGAATTGAGATATAATTTTATATGAGAGTTTTTCACTGTAATAAAAAAAATTAAATATGACTTTTTTGTGAGAATTTTTAACTGTAACAAAATTAAAATTAAAAACTCAAATTTCTAAAATGAGCCTAAAAACTTTTTAAAAGTAAAAGAATACTGTAAAAAAACAAAATTTAATAATAAAAGAACTAAAGAGGGAAAGTGCACAACATTATTATTTTAAAATTAAAAAATAATAAAAGAAAGAAAAAGAATCCGAGGCCCATTCACCATCACTTTAGCTTGCAATTCAATACAAATGTCGTACCACTCTCTACCATTGCATGTGGAGTCCATATAAAAATTCTCATAAAATAAAACGTCGGCTTCCATACATGAACCCATTTTCAGCCAAAAAAAAAAAAAAAATAGTACAACAATACAAATTACAACGAACCACTACAAAGAAAAACAATTTAGAAAATTATGAAAATAAATATCATGGTCGCTTTCCTCCCACATACATCCCTCAAAATCGCCTCTTAAATTCTTTTTTAATCTTATCTCATCACTCAAAACATATATATGCAATTATTTCTAAGAATAAAAAAGATTAAATAATATGGTTCTGAATTTATAATTTAAATTTTGTTATAGTACAAAATTTTTAAAAATAATTATAACTAATCTTTTTATTATAATAAAAAATTTTCACATAAAATTACATATCAATTTAAATTAACCAACAGACTTTAAATCAATTATTACATGAATAATGAACGTAACAAGAAATAAATACAATTTCCATTCTAATAATTCCACGCTGTATCTCCACAACCGCTGTCGGCTACCACTCTCCACGTAACTTCACCGTCACGAGCTCTTTCCAGAATCTTCGCCATGCCGCCACGTGTCGAATTTGGACCAGTTCTCGAAGCAATCCACGAAAGCCGCCATTTCCCCGATCTCCAAGTGCGTACTTCCACGTGTCAGCCTATCCTGAGTCAAATCCACTCCAGATTCATCGTCTGACTTTTCGGCTGGACGATATTCCGACACGTGTCCCTATAAAATCCCGTCCCAAACTCCCTATATAAACTACGATATCTATCTGCAAACAGGAACAAATTCCAAAACATAAGAAAACAAGATCGTTCTTTTTCCGAATCTTTTTGCCTTTTTTGAATTTTAATTTTATCTTCTTCTTTTTATTTTTTTTCTGTTCAATCAATGATCCAAAACCCTAATGTTTTAGGTCGCCGGATTCTGGACTTTCCGGCGATTCATCCATGCGAAGAAATCTCTCCGAAGACACTCGTGAGCGCTCTGATTTCTCTCGCGAACGAAATCTGCAGTTTCAAATCGAGGTTCTTCGCGTGCAATGATCGGAATGCGCGAGAAATTATTCGCCAGATTGGAGTACTTCTCGCCTTCCTCGAAGAAGTCCGAGGATCGGTGTCGGATCTCCCGGACGCCGTCGTCTTGGGATTCTCGGAGATTCATTTTGCCTTCCAGAGAGTTCGGTTCCTCTTGGAGGATTGCTCGCGGGAGGGGGCTAGAGTTTTGATGCTGGTGAATGCGGAGCGCGTGGCGAACCATTTCCGCGTGTTCGCGAGAGCCATCGCGACGGCTCTGGATGTTCTGCCGCTTTCTCTGATCGACGTGCCGGTTGATTTGAAGGAACACGTTGAGTTGGTGATGAGGCAAGCTCGGAAATCGAGCTTCGATGTTTCGTCGGAGGATAAGCGAGTTCTCAGTGTTGTTCGGTCCGTTCTAAATGGGTTCGAGAAGGGAGCTATCCCGGAAATGGATGATCTCAGACTGGTCCTTGATTATCTTGGAATTCGACGTTGGAGCAGCTGCAATAAGGAAGTGAAGTTCCTAGGTTCAGAAATCGAGTTCGAGAACTCGAACGAGGAAAGGAAAGAGCTGGTGACGATGTTAAGCAGTTTAATGGCGTTCGTTTGCTACTGTCGTTGCGTGTTGTTTGATGTTGTCGACGGCGAAGCCAATCGACAATTGAACAATAAATGTAGCACTGAGATGCTAATGGGACTTAACACAGATGATTTCCGATGCCCAATATCTCTGGAGATAATGGTTGATCCGGTGACGATAGCGTCAGGGCATACATACGATCGCTCTTCGATTGCGAAATGGTTCTGCGCTGGGAATTCAATCTGTCCGAAAACCAGTGAGAAGCTTAAAAACTTGGAGATGGTGACTAATTTGGCGCTTCGGAGGTTGATACAACAGTATTGTTTTGAGAATGGCATTCCATTTGTTGATTCGGGTCACAGAAATCGCCATGTGAAGAGAGAAGTTTTCGCGGGAAGTTTGGCAGCTGAAAATGCCATGAAAATGGTGGCCAATTTTCTTGCGGACAAGCTTTCGTCTGAAACCGGACAAGAGAAAAACATGGCAGCTTATGAAGCCAGACTTCTCTCAAAAACAAGCGTTTTTAATCGGTCTTGTTTGGTTGAAGCTGGTGTAGTTCCGCCTTTGCTGAAGCTACTGCTTTCGTTGGATTCATCGACCCAAGAGAACGCCGCTGCTTCCCTGTTGAACTTTTCCAAGCATTCCAAAAGCAAAGCTACAATAGTCAACAATGGAGGTTTGAAAGTTCTAGTAGATGTGCTAAAGAAAGGACTCAACTTAGAAGCAAGACAGCACGCCGCTGGTGTGCTGTTTTACCTTGCTTCAGTTGAGGAGAATAGGATGTTGATTGGGGAAAATCCTGAGACAATTCCTGCCCTAATGGAGCTGATCGAAAATGGGACCGATCGGGGCAAGAAAAATGCATTGGTTGCCATTTTTGGGCTCCTTGCTTCCCCTGGAAACCATTGGAGGGTGCTAGCAGCTGGGACAGTTCCTCTGCTGGTTAATCTTCTGAAGACTTGTGAAACGGAAGAACTTATCACCGATTCTCTTGCAATCCTTGCGACTCTCGCAGAAAAATCTGATGGAACGACTGCGATTTTGGTTCACAAGGCTTTGGATTTGGCAGTGGAGATTCTGAATTCATCCACTTCAAGGGCAGGGAAGGAGTACTGTGTGTCTTTACTGCTAGCTCTTTGCAAGAATGGCAAAAAGGATGTGGTCGCTCTGTTGGTGAAGAGCCCTTCTCTAATGGGATCTTTATATTCTCTATTAAGTGAAGGCACATCTCGAGCTAGCAAGAAGGCTAGTGCTCTCATCAGGGTTCTTCATGATTTCAAAGAAAGGAGGTCTTCTGGCTTGGTGGCTCCTGTTCTTCCTCGAGAACGATTTGTCCGTGTATGGTAACCCAATTTTTTTCGGGTTTTCTACGGTTGCTTATTCTTTTTCAGGCTGTGTAAATACACATTGTTTATGTAGATATCTCATGGTGCTAGCTTGGTTTTTCTAAAGAGCTAGACACTATTTGAGCTTCTGGTTTTTGGATGAAGCTCAATTTGTACAAAAAGCTATTTACATTGTAATTCTATTTTCTTTATTGAATAAATAGCAATAGATCAAAGTTTATTGCTGCATAAATTGTCGGTCCTTGTTTGAATATGAATTTAAGTCAATCTTTGGTGTGGGATCAGCAAGTCAAATAACTGAATTGAATTGTGTTGAAATATCAAACGCCTTTTCTAGTCTTGAAACCACTTGCTTCATGGATGACCTTTGCTGCTTAAGGCCCCAAGTTTAGCGCCTGCGAATTCTTCTATATTTCCACCATTTGTAAGAGATCTGGCCAGAAAGGCAAAGAATTTTATGAACAAGTGGTCAAAAACTCTTTGAAAGTAATTTTTAGAAATATCGAAATGTACAAAAACTGTGCTTGTTTCTACTTTCTCACTATATTGGTGAGAGGCATTGCTCTGCTTAAGACCAAATTGATCACTCGCTGCCCAGATAGAAGTTGTAATAGTACTATACAAAATTGTAGACATCTCCCGAAGGATTTACATGGTGATTTCTTCGGTATTCAGGATCAACATAACCTAATGTTCCTCTTACTTCTGAGCTCACATAGGATTGATCCGAGTCCATTTAGACAATCCAAAGTCTGAAAGCTTGGCTTGAAATTTAGCATCTATGAGTATATCTTTTGGCTGCAAACAAGGAAATGTAAAGAAAATTATAGGAACAACATATTAAAGAATGACAGAGAAAAAGTGGAAACCAAGTTCTGTTCATCTATGGAATATGGCTTCGGAATCTTAGAGAAAAAGCCAAGATTTTATTTGATTTGTTAGTTCAATAATGTTAATGAGATGTTGCAAAATCTGTTGGCATTCTTTTATAATCTTTTCGGAAACTTGGGGCCTGTTTGGCCATGGAACTAAACAATTTTCTGTTTTTAAAAACAATATTTGTACTCTAAAAACAAAACAATGTGTTTTTGTAATGTTTTTTGGGAACAATTTTTAAAAGAGTTGAAGATGTTGGGAGGAACTCCTACAATTTATTCAGACAATCAGTCAGCAATTCATTTATGCAAAAATCTAGTATATCATGAAAAGTCTAAGCATATAGACGTGAGGCATCACTTCATCAGGGAAAAAGTAGAAGATGAAGTAGTCAAGCTGGAAAAGGTCGATACTAAAGAGAATCCTTCAGATATGGCTACGAAAGTAATCACTGCAAACAAATTCCAGAAATGTTAAGATTTGCTTAATATTGGAAAAACGTAGCCTAGAAGGATAGAGCTATGATTCCACAAGATATACACTATTCATATTTATTGAGTTTAAGGTGGAGTTTGTGAGAGTAATCTCAGTAAATATGTATTATATAATAAAGCAGAAGAATGAAAATGAAAACAGAAAGTTCAAGAAGACTAAACGCAGTGTATTGCTTAAAGGATTCATATGAACTAGTAAAAGTGCTTCACGTGGAAGTTCCTTCAAGTCGGTGTTGAGCCAAATTCATTCTCAACAAATATATATGTAAAACATAATTAGTTGTAGTAATTTTTTTTTAATCGGTGAGGAACAGAGACACTTTTGTATCTGAGAGGTTGAAACAGAATTTCTAGTGAGAAAAAACAGTACAGAGAGAGAACCTGTTCTGTAAGTGTTTGGGGTGTGAGAAAATAGAAGAAATTAAGATTTCTTCTGAGTATTTTTTCTCTGAAAACACTTTGTTTTCTCTTGGGTTGGTTTCTGGGTTTGTGTCTCTAATTCCTCAGTTGAGAGTTTTTGTATAACAATTGAGAGTGTAATCTTCTTCTTCTTTATAGTGGATTGAGTTTTTTGTGGAGAAACTCAGCAGGAGTAGGTCAATTTTTGGCCGAACCTGGATAACTTTGGCGTGTTTTTACTTTTCCCTTTCTTGATTTATTCAGATTCATCTCCTTCCGATTGTGTTGGTCTCGTTCCAACAGTCTAGCTGATCACCGGCTACAACGTGTTCGACTTGGTTGGCAAGTCGCTAACCGCATTGTATGTCCCTGCAAATCAGAAGGTTGCAATTGGCGCAACCGTTATGAGATTGTTGTTCTTCCCTCTCTTCTACGGGTGCTTGCATGGCCCTGAATTTTTTTGGACTGAGGTTCCGGTGACGATGCTGACTTGCCTTTTGGGACTCACCAATGGCTATTTGACTAGTGTGTTGATGATTTTGGTTCCCAAGAATGTGCCATTGCAACATGCTGAGACTGCAGGGATTGTGATTGTGTTGCTCCAAGTTATTGGTCTCGCTTCTGGATCAATTATATCATGGTTTTGGGTTATCTGAATCTCCTAGCAATTTCTATTATGTTTTTGTTGGTGCTCTCGTCTTGTAAAAGCTGTGTAAATCTTTAATTGTCGTAAATTTATTTCTGCTGGGGTTGAACATTGATCTTGGTGTTAAATGTTAATAGTACGTTTCATTGTACGACACAAGGGGAATTATGGTTTGCTATAGATTGTTTTTAGAACTCAGACGGTACTTCAGAGGCTGCTGTCTCCAATGCTAGCGATATGTCCCATGACCCATGTAACTTGGTTTTCTACTCTGTAAACATTGATTCAACTCTTGCCAATAGATAGAACAAATTTTATGTAGATATATCATGATACTGGCTTGGTTTTCCTAAACAGATAATCACTATTTTCAGTTTCTGGTTTTTGGATGAATCTAAATTTGTAAAAAAAAAAAAACTCTTTATATTGTAATTCGTTTTCTTTTATGAATAAGTAGCAATAGATAAAGTTTATTGCTGCAAAAATTGTCTGTCCTTGTTTGAATATGAACAAAGGGTTTCTGTGATTTTACAATTTTAAGTTAGTCTTTGTTGTGGAATAACCAAGTCAGGTAACTGAATTGAATTGTGTTGAAATATCAAACGCCTTTTCTAGTCTTGAAACCACTTGCTTCATGGATGGCCTTTGCTGCTTGAGTCCGGTGCACGATAACGCCAGCTTGAATACAAGGTCAAAAGCTTCCGAGGAGTATTCTCTCTCGAGTTTAGCGTCTGCGAATTCTTCTATAGTACCACCATTTGAAAGAGATCTGGCCTGAAAGGCAAAGACTTTCATGAACAAATGGACTAAAAATCTTTTGGAGTATTTTTTAGAAATATCGAAATGTACAAAAGTTGTGCTTGTTTTTACTTTCTCACCATTTTAGTGAGAGGAATTGCTCTGCTTAAATCCAAATTGATCGCTCGCTGCCCTGACAGAAGTTGTAATAGTACTATACCAAAACTATAGACATCTCCTGAAGGATTTACATGGTGACTTCTTCGGTATTCAGGATCGACATAACCCAATGTTCCTCTTACTTCTGAGCTTACATAGGATTGATCCAAGTCCATAACTTTAGACAATCCAAAGTCTGAAAGCTTGGCTTGAAATTTAGCATCTATGAGTATATTTGTCGGCTGCAAACGAGGAAACGTCAAAAAAATTATAGGAAGAACGTATTAAAGAAAAACAGAAAAAAAGATAAGCAATATAAACGAACCTTGATATCACGGTGAACAATGCAGCCTTCTGGATAAGTGTGTAAAAACAAGAGACCTTTGGCACTGTCAATTGCAATCTGAAGTCTTTGGACCCACAAAAGAGTTTTATCTTTACCTGTTTTATCCAGTAACTTTATCTATTGGCTTTCCATGACTTGAGAATGGTGAATGAAATAAGTCTCATGAATGAACAGAAGAACATACCAAACAACCATTCTGAAAGGTTCCCATTGTGGCATAGCTCATAGACCAGGAAACATTCATCGACGGCCTCGCAATAGCCGAGCAAAGAAACTAGGTTCGGATGTCTGATATGGGAAAGACTTCTCACCTCTCTGATGAAGGTATCCACATGCCTATCCTTTATTATGTGCTTGACTGCAACATGGTGGCCATTTGACAGTGTGCCTTTATATACCTTCCCTGAAAAACTGCCAAATGACATTAAGACTCAGTTTAAGAATAAGTAAAATCATTCTGTTATTTCCCTAAGTTTTTTAGTTTTATTGCACCATTTAGCTTATGCCTTTATATACCTTCCCTGAAAAACTGCCAAATGACATTAAGACCTAGTTTTAGAATAAGTAAAATCATTCTGTTATTTCCCTAAGTTTTTTAGTTTTATTGCATCATTTAGCTGCAAAACCAAATCTAAGTCTTCTTCCATGTATGCCTGTTCCTCATTGCTTCTCATTTTTGTTTCTTTTTCTCTGAAAAGCATGCACTATTATCTTAAAATACTGTGTTCACATTAATATATTGGGTTTATGCTAAGGCCTTTCCTTCTATTTGCTTTAATGCTTCTGAATTTTTCTCAAAACAATTTATCATGACCAACAATGAAAGTCCTAAATGCTTAATCAAAAAGGTTCTCACCTGCTACACCTTGTCCAATGAAGTTGGACAGATCAAGATTGTTTGTTGCTAAATAAACTTCCTTAATTGAGATCCTGAGGCAGCTCGTTTCTTCAATCGTTGAACACGAGTTATCTGATGTTGTCCAGTAAACTGAGGAGTTTAATGACTTGTACTAGTCGTACTTTTCATGGAAGTTTAGAAAATTCTGAGAGAAAAAAATATCCGTCTTTTTTTACCTTCTTTTCCAGATGAAAGACTTTCCTTAAATTTCTCCTTGCACAAGGTCCATATTACTAAAATTACTACTAATGTAGCTGCTGCTAGACTACCAACTAGAATCCATAAACCTGTTAAGTACTAAGAAAGTTACTCAAATATACCAGTTAATCAGGACATCAAGATTTCAAATTTAACTTTATAAAAAAAAAATACCTATACTCAACTTTCTATTATCATTATCTCTACTACCCTCTTCTGCAAGGAGAACAAAGAGGCATAAGAAATATCAACAACAATACTTGAGAAAAAACTTTGAAGAGAAGTACTAATTGCCAAACTGCTTACTTATTGGAAAGTTTTGATCCCCAAGGCATTTATAGAGGGCATGACTCCATTTTCCATCATCAGCTCTAGTGCCAGTCAAAGTGATCAACACAGAAAAACCGCAAACCATGGTTTTGGTTTTTTCGATTTCGCTGACATTGTCCGCCGATGCAACAATCTCTTCCCACCTTCTTAGACACGCACTGCAAGCTTTAGCACCCGATACCCCGGGTGAGCCAAAAAGTTTGCAATCCTCATCAAGCATATTTAGTGTATTCCCTAGATTATCATAAACATCCCTGGTTGAAAAATCCGAGCAGCCGCCACCTCCACTCGTTAGCTTTTCAAAGCCACAGCCAGAGACATCCTTACCAACTGTATTGTTCATCACAAGCAGGCAGTTTTTCTGCTCTGTGGAGTTCAGGAAAATTTTTTGAGCATGATTTGCCCTTTGTGCCAATGCATATAGGTAGTCATCAAAAACTGACCCACAATTACTATTATTGACAAAACCACCCCAATTTCCCGCTACAAAATCTGAGGTGTTCCAAGATGAAGGGTGATAAATATCAAGGACACAATCAGAAGCTGAAACTTGTGTGAGGAACAAACTTATGGTGGTGAGGGAAACAAAAGAGAAAACAGAAGAGAACGGTACTTGTTTACTCTTCTTTCGATTGGAAAAGTGGATATTCAATGTGAATTTATCCATGGAAGGTTGTTTTATGTGTGAAATTGATGAACTCTATTTGGCTATTTATTGGCAATCTTATAAAAAGTCAAAAAATAGGTGAAGAAAAATTGATGCAGCTTTGATCGTGATATTAGTGCAGACTTAATCGTGTTGCAGATTTACAGAGATAAAGATGGAGTTCCAGCAGAGTAGATATAGCAACCGTGGTTTAAAAGTCAAAAGATTTGCTTTTGTAGGGTTTGAATTCAAATTACAGTTGGTTTCGAGTTGAACAGTTTGATAAGTCATGATAAGAATTACAGTAGAAGATATGCCTTGGCTTTGAATTTAAAAAGGGGATGTTTAATATTTGAATTGCAATGAAGATAAAAGAGTGGTGTACAAGTCTAAGTGCAAATCCGAATTTAGTTGATATATGTAATTCACTAGATGATTTGATTAAGTTAAATTCCTGATAAGGCTTGAAAAAATTGAGATATATTTTAAAGCCTTTCTAAACGTGTATTGGATAAAGATTGTATGGTGATAGAGCAGAAAAAATAGGGCACGATATTGAATTTATATTTTAAAGTAAAGATCAGATAGTATTGTAACAAATAATGGAATAGATTATGCGACAGTTTGAATTTTGAGTAAGTTTGGAGAGAAACGTCTACTACTCTATAAATAAGACTCAAGACCGCTCATTTTTGTGGGCTTTCTGAGTTTTCACGCATAATGTTTTGAGAAGTTCCCATTAACATTCTTCGGGAGAAGAATTTGTAGTTTTCGAGAGAAGATGATTTGAAGTGTTGAAGGGAGTTCAACCATTTATCATTTTTCAGGAGAAGAAGTTGAAGATTTTGAGAGAGAGCAACCTGCCAGATGAAGGAATTTTACCGTGCAGTTTTGAAGACGAGTGATGCTCGTTGAATCACGTCATCTAGTTGATTCTACACGGCGGCTGCAAATTTTAAAGAGGGAGTCTTTATTTGTATAAGTTTAATTGGTTTTTGTAATCATTGAGAATTAGTGGATGATTCAATGTCTGGACGTGACCCTATTAATATAGATGGTTATCGAACTGTGATACTAATTTTTCGTGTCTATTTATTTATAACTTTCATAATCTATTAATTTAGCTCGATAAAATAATTGCTAAAAACGGATCTATCAAACTCATATGAGAAAAAGTAGAAACCGAGTTCTCTTCATCTACATAATATTGATTATGGCTTCAAAATCTAATGAAAGAGCTAAAGAGTTTATTGGTTTTGGCCTTGGAAACTGAATAATAATAATATTAACGAGTTGCTGGTAATCTATTGGCTTCCATTTGTAATCTTTTTGGAAACTTGGTCTTCCTAGAGAGAGAGTTGGATTTATGCGAGTTTAAAACGCAAATTAGACAAATGGCTAATATGATTCTGCAGGCTTATTTGAAGGATGTCAATTCATACTCCAATATGTAATTACAAGAATTTTATTGTTTAAATTAAAGTCTTTAGACAATTTGCCGAACGGGAATAATATAACATCCACATTGTCAGCAAATAGTTGAACCTTTACCGGTGATTCTCTTGGAAAAACGACAAATGGGATTAGAAACATGTTCTAGCTAGTTCATTGACCATCATCATGCAACGGACCCAATGGGCCATATGATTTTCCAAGGTCCAACGTAAGCCCAAAAAGGTCCAAACATGGAGTGGCCTTACTACAAATTGGGTTGAATAATCTTCACAAATATCCGGTGAAGATTTTTATCTTTTAGTTTTGATTCATAATTTTTTTAATAAAATAATTATATTAATAAAAAAATATTTATAAAAAATAAATAATAAATGTTCAGATTTATACATTCATTCTTATTTTTTTCTGTTGGGTTTGGACTATGATAAAGAAACTTGTGGACGAAGATAAAGAAACTAGTGTGACGAAGACGAAGAAAAGTAAAAGAGCAAATAACAAAAACTTATCCTTAAATACATCTGGAGCGTTACTTTTTTGCCGTGATAGGATACCCTTTTAATAATAATCTGTTAAATTATATGTAGTAATCTGTCAAATTATATGTAGTAATTTGTTAAATTACGCCCGCCGTTGGTGATCAAAGACCTACTATCTGGTGACCGGAGACCCGCCGCTAGCATAATTTATTAAATTATAGATGATAATCTATCAAATTACTTACTTTAAAAAGATAAAATTTAATAGGTTAATGTTTAGACCTAAAATTTTTTAATAGTACTATTTTAAGGGATATTTGTTAAAATTACCTTAAGTAAAACGAGGTGAAGCAAACCAAGAGAAATAAAAAATAAAAAAATCATTTGCCATGTGATAAATAAAAAATCAATTTGCAAAGTAGAAGTTCCCAAATCCCACCTACCAAGACAAACCAAACCCCATAATTCATTTAAAAACTGTACCCATGTGAAACGCAACATCTTTTTTTTCGAAAAAAACATTAAAAATTTAAGATTTTAATTCATTAATTTAAATTTTTAATTTAAATTGAGATATAATTTTATGTGAAAATATTTTATTATAATAAAAAAATGAGATATAATTATTTTTAAAATTATTTTATTATAATAAATTTAAATTTTAAACTCAAATGAATGATGGCTCATCGCTTTTCCAATAATTTGCGTCAAACTTAAAATGCAAAATTACGAGGGTGTACTGAAATAATTGCAAACTATACTGCAAATTGGGATTTTTCCCAAATTCCTCAATCGACAACATAAATAACTACCACCAACCAACCAAAACAGACCCAACCCAGATCCAGACCCCGGCCCATTTAACCATCTCCGATGGGTTTGTCTGTCCACTCCGGCGACGCCGACTCCGCCCTCCTCCTCCCCACAACCGCCGACAACAGCACCACCACCACTTCATCTCCAAGAGCAATGTTTATCAACAACAAAGTCCCACAAGACTCATTCCACTTCGCCTACATAATCTACTTCACCTTAGGCCTCGGATTCCTCCTCCCATGGAACGCCTTCATCACTGCCGTCGACTACTTCTCCCACATCTACCCCGACGCCAGCGTCGACCGGATCTTCGCCGTCGTCTACATGCTCGTCTGCCTCGTCTTTCTCCTCCTCGTCATCTTCTTCTCACATAACTCCGACGCCTACCCGCGGATCAACGCCGGCCTCGCCCTCTTCGTTGTCGCCATGCTCGTCGTCCCCGTCATGGACGCCGTATATATTAAGGGTCGGGTCGGGTTGTACGCCGGGTTTGACGTGACGGTTGTGGCGGTGGCGCTGTCGGGAGTGGCCGACGCGTTGGTGCAGGGCGGGATCATTGGCTCCGCTGGTGAGCTGCCGGAGAGGTACATGCAAGCTGTCGTCGCTGGTACTGCGGCTTCAGGTAAAGCTTGAAACTTTTTGTTTATTTGTTTTGATTTGATTTATTAGAGAATTGGTAAAGTTTTGCTTTTTGGTCATCCGGGTTTTGTGAGATTTGTGGGTCTGATTTGCAATTGGAGTTTGAGGGGTTTTCTTGAGGTTGGTTTTGGTTTTGGTGTCTGGGTATTTCTCAATTCTCTTAGAAAGGCTCTTTAGGGATATGTATTAGGGTATAAAGAGACTATGTCGGTTTACCAATTCTCTCAAAAGTTTTAGCTGATAGGAGATAGGTTGACTTTTGATCAAAAGTTTTAGCTGAAGATGTTAGATGTAGCACTTTCTACATGTATGTTGAAAAGATCGGGTCGTGTGCTTTGAGATGTCAGATTGTGTAGTAATCGTGTCAGAATCAATACACAAATATGAGGATATATTATGAAAATCTTGAAAGGAAATTTTAGCTTTAGCAATCAAGAGTATTTGGCATTTTTAGGATTGTTTATCTGTATTGCGGAATTTCACTTACAAGTTGTACTACTATTTGTCAAATTTTTGTATGCAGGCGTCTTGGTTTCATTTCTAAGGATCCTAACCAAAGCTGTGTATCCACAAGATGCTTACGGCCTTAGGAAAAGCGCGAACCTCTATTTTGCTGTTTCAATAGTTGTCATGGTCATTTGCGTTGTTTTCTACAATTTGGCACCTAGGCTTCCAGTCATGAAGTACTATAGAGAGTTAAAAGTTGAGGCTGTGAATGAGGAGAAAGAGGAGAAAGGTCCTCTGACCGGAGCTGTATGGAGATCGACTTTGTGGGACATAGTTGGGAGAGTCAAGTGGTATGGATTTGGCATTGTCCTGATCTACCTTGTAACCTTGTCAATATTCCCGGGATACATCACGGAAGATGTGCATTCTGAGATTCTCCAGGATTGGTATTCGGTCCTGCTGATTGCCGGCTACAACGTGTTCGACTTGGTTGGCAAGTCACTAACTGCATTGTATCTCCTTGAAAATGAAAAGTTTGCAATTGGCGCAACTGTTGTGAGATTGTTGTTCTTCCCTCTCTTCTACGGGTGCTTGCATGGCCCAGAATTTTTCCGGACTGAGATTCCGGTGATGATTCTCACTTGCCTCCTGGGACTTACCAATGGCTATTTGACTAGTGTGTTGATGATTTTGGCTCCCAAAGTTGTGCCATTGCAACATGCTGAGACTGCAGGGATTGTGATTGTATTGTTCCTAGTTATTGGTCTGGCTTTTGGGTCAATTGTAGCTTGGTTTTGGGTTATCTGAATTTCCTAGCAATTTCTAAAATATTTGATGCTGGATTTCATACTAGTGGATGGGGGAAAAATGACCTCTTTTGGCTCTCTCATCCTGTTAAAGCTGTGTAAATCTTTTATTGTTGTAAAACTATTTCTATTGGGTGTTAAATGTTAATAGTACATTACTGCTCTTATTGTTTTTCAAGTTATTGATATTGATAATTGAACCCATCTAATAATTCGTGTACGAGACTTTTTGTTTTTTGAATTTTGACGGTTCTTCAAAGGCTGCTGTGTTTAGTGCTAGAGGTGTGTCCCACGTAACTTGATTTTCTTCAATGTAGACATTAATTCAACTTTTGCCAAAAAAAATAATAATAATAGAACCATATGCTATAAATGATACGAGAGTTTTGAGTTAGTTTAGAATCTTCTGGATTAAATGATATGGACAGTTGATTTATTATTTTGTATTTGGTGGTGTATCTGTATTCCATGGTTTTATTTATGACGTATATTTTGTCGCTATATTGTTGATATATAACTAGTACACACTACATAGACCGGATTATGTTCTTTTATATCCAACTATCAATTTCGTTAAGTGAACTATATGAAGGTCTGGCATGATTCCTCGCATTATCAGCTAAACTAGTTCTGTCTTGTAAAATAAATGGCGAATTCATTTACTTGTATATCACAAAGTGCATATTCTCATATTGCATACATTATGTGTAGTTAGTTTTGTTATTAGTCAAAAGTTATAGATAAACATTTGATAAATTCTTTTCTTTTGTGAAAATTGGGCAGTAAATTTTGTGCACGTGTATAATGATTGAAATAAACATGTTTTATTTTCGTTCATATAATTTCTCACACTATAATATTATGATATGTTTTTTTATTATTATTTCGAATATATGTAAGAAGAAATAAGTTGCTATTGCTGTTTTAAAGTTATTTAATAATTATTGAAAATATTTGAGTTCAATTAGATAGCGCATTTATTAAATAATTTTTTGAGGAAAATTGCCTTTTTTTAAGTGTATATTAGGTATAATCTTCTTTTTCTATTTGTTAAGAGTATCAATTAATGAAATCAATAGATCTAGAAATGTAGTTCATTATTAAAGATTTTAAATATTATCAGCAAAACAATTGTGCAAGAGAACGAACCCCTTGACTTCTTATATTCTAAGTGTGCAAATTTTTAAATATATGGCAAAAATAAGATTTACCACACTACAATCATTCTTTAAATCTAAAAACAACTTTCAAAAGCAATGTCTAACATATCCAGAGTCAAGAATATCCAAACTCATCCTATATTTTTATCCACTTTCCCTCGAGTAAAAGCAACCTTTTTGAGAGAGAACATTATAAGAGTTTTTAACTTTTTATTGCCATCCAAACAAGAAATCAAGAATTAATGGGTGCCGAAGCTACAAGAAAACAATAATGGGTTTCATTGCTTATGGGGACGATGAAACAACCGAAGAATATGTCTAAGCCTAGACAGCCATCCATCTGATTCTGATCCATTCTAAAGGGCGTCTGAAAAACATTTCATCTCAACTGGGGCAATAATATTTTACTAAAGTCAGCATTCAGCATAAACAAAGGAACTAAAAAATGCATCATGTTCTAGATCTCGAGGAGAGGCCCGTCTCCACCTTCTTAATTTCGAAGATGAGCATCCTCCACATCTTGAGAACAAACATTTCAGCTTCCTCATCTAGAATGGATTGAAGAAGCTGCAGCATGCCGTCTGCTTCGACATGTTCTTGAGTACTAGATACAATGTAGTCTACCAGTGTGGCCTCTTCCTCTCCTAAAAACTCCGTAATCTTTTTCGAGATCCACGGTCTCATTCTCTCGTGAAGTGCATGCTGCGAAACAGATTATATCAAGCACAAAAACACAATGATAAACTATTAATAATGAAACTCGATTACTAATTCTAAAGAGCATTTATAATAGGAACTTGAACCAGAATTTAAATTTTGAATCTTGAATCATAACCGTGAGAATAATTACCTTGTCATAAACAGCCCAATTTATTTCATACGAAAATAACTCCTCCTTGGTCTTTGGGATCATATCAATGAGTTGCTTTGCATCCAAAAGCTTCTTATTATTTGTTGTCTTTACTCTGTCCCCACCATATTCTCGATCTGTTGTATCACGAGTCTTCTCCTTGGTTTCATTTCTAGTGCGATTACCATCCTCATCATATCGGTCTTTTGTGCGTCTACTTCTTTCCTTTTCAGCATCAAGCTTCTCGTCCTTGGAGCCAGTATTTGATATTCGCTTGGCAAATTCAGCAGCAGCAACCAAATTTGGTTGAGTTGCCCCTGAAGCAGTCTGGACCGCTTGTAGTTCTTCCGTCGAATAATCAATGGGAACCAAGGGCCTCATCTTTTTCTCCTTATGTGCATCATCATCATCCTCGTTGCTAAAAACAGAAGGTACAGCAGTACGTTTACCAGACCCAACAAGACCAAAACCCAATTTCTTAGTGGTGACGTTGCCACTATGTTGTGTATCCGATGCAGCAACTGATGCCATGGTCGATTCATCAATGATACCACCATTTTGTAGAATCATGTCACCTATCACATAAACAAATCTCATTCAAAACAACACAGAGGGTGGGAACAGGTCCTGAGAAGAGGGAAAAATAGAGAGAGAGAGAGAGAGAGAGAGAGAGAGAGAGAGATTACCGATACGATTGTCATGACCAGAATCACCCTCATAATCCTTATCTTTCATTTCAGCACTGGATTCCTCAGCCAATACAGCCTTTTCGGTTCCATTTGTTACACGATCAGATGAACTCTCCAAAAGATCTTTCTCTTGCTGTCGCTGCTTTTCCTCTTCAGCCCTCCTCTTGGCCTCAGCAATTTCTTCTTCCTCTTTTTGCATGTCAACCAAGTCATCTTCCTTTTCTCTTAGCCTTTTCTTTCTCTTCTCCTCCAACGCACTTCTTCGCCACCTCTTTCTTGAATCATCATCATCATCTTCCTCTTCATAAATAATCTCCTTCTTCCTTTTGCGTTCCCTATCTTTCTCTCTCTCCTTCTCATACTGACGTTGTTTCTCCTTCTCCCTTTCCCTATACTCCCACTCTTTGAGATATTCCTCATACTGGCGCTCAGCTTCCTCCAACCTCCTCCTTTGCTCCCTCTCTTTACGTATCCGCTCCCGCTCTGTTTCTCTTTCAAATCTTTCAAGCTCTCTTTCCTTTTCTCTTTTGAGATCACGCTCTCTGTCTCTGTCCCTGCTTCTTCGATCATGCCTTCTATTCTTATCAGGTGAGCTTGCTTCAGTCCTATCATTCTCACTTACGAGTTTGTTCCCACTAGTTGACTCATCATCATTTTTTTCTTCAGTTGCATCTGCAAGATCAGGATGATGTGAGAATACAGCTTTGGAGAACAATTAACTTAAACTAGCAATATTCTCCTTCTAAATTACCAAAATCATGAAAATAGATGAGAACAAGATCCATCTCCTTGATGAAGACCTTACCATTTCTCATATCTGCATCAGAGTCTCCATCCCTTGATTTAGCTGGCAGCTCTGAGTTAGAATTCCCAGCGCCTTCACCAGATGCTTGTGCAGGAGGTGGAGGTGGAGGTGGAGGTGGAGGGAGAGGTTTGGTTTTTAACCTCTCCTCAATCATGCTTGTCAGCTTCCCCATTGCTTCCCGATCAGCTTCACTGTCTTCATCCGTGACAATACCAAAATTTGCATTGTCATTTTCTTTATTCCCCGAATCACTGTCTTCCTTCGTTGGCTCCTCTGCAGTCGGCTTCGGAAGGTCGGTCTTTTCATCACTTGCTGCACTTTCATCCTCTTTCATAGCAGGTGAAGCTTCAGTTGCTTTGAGCTTCTTAGAGTTTTCAGTTTTCTTTTCAACATATCGCTCTAGATAATCTCTCGTTGCTTGGTTAACGTTTAACTGTCAACAAGACGAGTAAAAGAGAGCAAAAATCACATGCTGAGAAAATTTCATAAACTAACTCAAGGAGAAAACAAAAATACTATTTTTTCCTACCAAAAAAAAAAAAAAAAAATCATATGCCTATGGTAACCACACCAGTTTTCAAACGTAAAATGCATAATAATGAACAAGTGGTTTTTTGCCGTTTGGGATGAATAAAGTTTTAGATTCGTATGCATATAGTAAGTAGGCCTCCAAATGTAAAATTGATAAAGAACAAGCCCTTTTCTGCCTTTTGGGATGAGTAAAGCTGTAAATAAGGTGTTCATTCTAGGACATTTGGGTTCATGAACTGTGAGTTGTTGTAGAAAACTCTGGCAAGAAAACCCACACAACTGGCCAATGGAAGCTATAAATTACATGAAACCATTTTTTTCCCTCTTATCCCAAAAAAAAAAAAAAAATTGGCAACCATATAGTAAGACAACATGAATCAAGCAAATTATAATTACTACATTTTTTAATACACAGCAAGTCTGATAAACAATAATAACAAAACAGAAACAACAAATTGAAAGTCATGTGATCAGCATGAACAAAGAGAGAAGAATAGACATACCACAAGTTCTTGTCCGTCAATACTAAATTTGCTCAACAAGCGCAATGCACGAAGAACACCTTCAGCAGACTCGAATTCACAAAATCCAAAACCTCTAGGAGTCCCATCAGTGGGATCTTGAGCACGTTTCCAAGCCTTGACAGGTCCACAAAACTTCACAGACATGAAACTATTAGAAAACTATGAAGAAAAGGCTCCAAAGACAGCATGCACATACATATATATACATATTTGAAATAATGTAAATGAACACAAAGCCTATAGGTAGGCACACAAGGATCTTATATTGTATACAAATCCTACCTGAAGGACAGATAACATAAAATCATTTTCCACAGTTGGTGCTATCTTGCCAACATATACAGTGGTTTGTGGTTTCTCGGCTGGAGTAACACTAGGAATGACTGGCCTAACAATAGGGGGAATGATTGGGCGAACTCCAGGAATCCCTGGAACAGGAGGGCGTGGTAGCACCCCAATTGCTCCTGGTGGCCGTGGAGAAAATGCATGCCGGACCATCGTGGTATAAGGAGAAGGAAAACGAGGAAGTCCTACATAAACAAAAATATATATCTAGGCAAATGTATCAGAGAAAGTACACATACTACAGTCTGTGCCAACAGCACAACTCCACACTACACATATTTACGGAAAATATAGGCTAAAAAGAATAACTAATGTTGTTACCACACATTAAAAGCATAATAGAGATGGCAGCATAGGCATTGCAACAATCACCAGCTGAATAGAAAACCTGAAGAAAACATTAAAAAAAAAAAAGGCATCGTTTCTTAAACCATAAACATGAGAATTGGCCTTACCTTATGCATACACTTGTGCCATCATATCCTTCTCATCCAACAGTGGCAAACATTTTAAAGGAACAAAGAAACTCCAACTAGATCTCATGCGGAGAAAGAAGTTGGTAAAACTTGTAGAGTTGTACTTGCATATGAATATGATCATTGCTATTGATATTTACTTTAATCAGCAAGTGGTGTAGGGCAAGAACAAAGCAAAAGGGAATAAAAAAAGGAACTATAAACAGAAAAAGTCACACTTATACGTGATCACATGCCTATGTAAATATAAAAGAAGAAAGAGATAGCCTTTAATTGGAACTTGGAAGGATTTTGATACCTCAGAACACAAGGCCAATGACCACTCAGTTGTAAACATGGTGTGCTTCTGGCAATTCATAACCCATGAAAAGGAAAGTACCCTTAAACTACCAGAATGCATCCTAATAAAATGAATACGACACGATCATAGATCATTTAGCATGACAAAAGAGGACAATATAATTTGCTAAATCTAGTTACATCTTTTAAGTAGTGGTAAGCTCCAACTGCCAGTTATATAATAGGAATAACAGGCGTTCCAATTGATACTTATTATTCCAAATAGGCAAATACAAACAAAAGAAACAAGCAAATATGTGCATACCAAAAAAGGAGTTGTAGAAGGGTGATCTCTAAGCAATATGAAGCATGCCTTCCAAACTTTCTCACCGTATTCAATCAAGACACTGTAGGAGAAAACATCCTGTCATCGATATCCTCTATCTAACCAACACGAATTCTTTTAAGAAACTCCGAACTCTTCTCTAACAGACTCTTCCTCAACATTTCATACAATTGACCTCATATTCAACCGATCCTTATATTTAAAAACAACTTTTCGTTCAAAACACATCAGACTCTTCAGATTATGATGTTATCTCTTTTACCAGTTTCCTATCTACTTATTAGAAATAAGCTAGATATGCTGTTGCAAATCGCAATCAAATAACTCATCCCATAGCTGCAGCAAAGCAACTGACAGAGATTCCAATTAGCCATTATCGGAAACAATTCGAATCAGAGTAACGCCAAAACTTCGAAATTAAGACTCAAAAACACAATTGGTGCAGAAAAGAAGTATAGAAATCTCACAAAAAACAAGTCGGTAAAATACATAACTTTAACAAGCGAATCAACTCGAGATATACAGAGACGAATAACCCACCAGGTGGAGGTATAGTGCCTTGAGTAACAGCACCAGGCACGGCCGTGAATCCATTCGGTATCGGAGCATACGAAGGTCTCAACGCAGGGTTTGGAAACTGACCAGGCTGGACCTGATAATGCATCAAAGGTTGCGGCGGCACCGGTACCGAAATAGGGACCCCGGCGGCCCCGCCGCTGGCCGCCGCGGAGCTCACGCCGGGAGGCTGGACGCCTGGAATTTGGAGGCTAGGGTTTTGAAAATTTGGAATCGGAGAGAACTGCGGAACCGGACGAAATGACGGCGCCGAGGGCGGGACGAAGGAGGCGGCGACGCCGGAGACCGGCGGAGGCGCGTAAGAGATAGAGGGAGGCGTTGGAGGCACTTGAGTTGAATTCGGACTAGGGTTTGGCGACGATTGCGTAGGTTGAGAAGCTTGTGACGACGGTGGTGGCGGTGTTGGAGCTGGTGGAGGATTGGGGAGGTTTGATTGGGAGGTAGAGTTTTGGTCTTGAGATTTTTGAGGGTTAAATTCCATGGTAGCAGGAGAAGAAGGAGCGTCCGCCATGGATGAAATGAAGAAGCTTCAGAGAAAGAGAGAGATCTGGCAGTGAATGGAATTTGGTGAATTGTGTGAATTTCGGTTTTGCCGTTTCAGGTTTTTCTGTGCCCTAGAGAGAGAGAGAGAGAGGGAGAGGGACTGAGGGAGGGTTGCTTTATTTTTTTTTTCCTCTTTTTTTTTTTCCTCCTCTTTTCCCATTTGTTTAGTCGGCTCGCTACTAAGTAAAACCGGCCCAAACAATACTCCAACCCAACTAGGCTGAGGCCCAAATATATGCAGTTATTGGCCCACATACTAATTTCAGGCTCGGCCCGGAGAAATTTAGTTACGTATTTACTTTTAAATAATATTTTTAAGTTAAATAACTATATTAATTAAGTATTAATATACCCATACATCAACAATTTTCTGTTTATGTTATTTATTTATCGAGTATAATTTCTGTTGTAAATAAATTATGGTTGATACGAACACTTGATCCATAATTTTTTGTAACCTCTTCATTATGATCTCTATTAGCATTTTATAACCTCTCAATATTTTATATAATCATATGTAATTTATGCCCTTTATCTGATTTGTACATATTATTTTTGGCTCAATATGTATTTACATCGTTTATAAGTGAATATATTTCTTATTTTCAGAAAAAAAAACATTTAAACGAACATTTGAAAACAAATTATTATTAATTTGTTTAAAGTAAATAAATGAGATAATGAGAACTCTAGCGCCAATACTTAAAAGAGAACAAAAAAAAAGAATTTTTCTATGAATTCTTAAAAAATAGACTATCAATAATCTCATATTCTACAGCTTTTTTAATATGATGATTTTAAAGATTTATCTCTTTTATTTTTGCTGTTAATGAAAAATAGCAACGCAGTCAATTATTAAAGAAAATAGATCAAATAATCAATTATTTTGGTTAGAGTTTGAGAGGGAGGAAAAAAAATATGAGGGCATAATTAGAAATTAATTTTATGATTCTTTTCCCCGTTTCTTTTTGGGACCTTCGCTGCTTTATTAATAATCTCAAAACCCTTCGAGAGAAAAAAAAAAAAAAAGAGAGAGGAAAAAGAAAGGAAGAGGAAACGGACATAAAATTTGAAGAGAGAGAAAGTTAGAGAGAGAAAGGGAGAGAGGGAGAGAGAGAGAGAGAGAGGGAATCAAGAGGAGAGAAGAATATAACGCAGAGGCCAATCTGACAGAAGTGTATGCATGGAAGAGGGGAGTGCTGCAAAGCAGCCATTGGAGCTTGACTGGAACAAGCTTTTCTACGAAGGAGACGACGACGGGCCGCCACCATCTGTGGTGATCGTCAACTCCAAAGCCCTCGCCGGCGAGAACTGGAAGGAGCCGGCGATGGCCGCCGCCGATTCCGCCGATCGCCGTCCTGCGGACAAGCACGAGACGTACGAGCAGATGGCCGATCATGTGCTCCTCGAGAGGATTAACAGCACCAGACAAAGCATCCCTAATTTAATCCGCACATTGCCCGACAAAGGCGCAAAGCTTCGAGAATCTCTCAAGTGTATGGAGGACGAGAGGGACCGGAGGAAGCTCCGACGGGTTGAGACAATTCACTTGGAGGTTTTTGACTTTTGATTCTCCTTTGCTTTTTTTTTTTTTTTAGTTTATGTTATGTTTGGTTGCCGAGAAAATGGCCGAAATGCTGTCATTTTCGGTTGTGAATTATGTTCAGATTCGAATTTTTTTTTAGAAGTGTTCGGTTGTGGAAGGAATAAGATGGAAAAGGTGGATTCTGGGTCTTATGCTTAAATTTAATATGCAAATTATTATGTCTGAGCTTTCTACTTTGAACACATTTGGTACATAAATTGAATTCTTGGGCGTACAACTAGAATGCTTGAGCTTTCATGAGTTGTCAGTTTCGATTCTTCACTCTGGAGGAGTTTCTCTTCTGTGAGTTATTTGGTTATTGGATAAAATGAGAATATGTTGCAGATAAACTTTCAATCTTTTTTTGGGTATCATTTCCTTCTTTCTTTACTCATTCGATTTGCTTCAAATGGAGCCTAATTTTCGAAGATCTTCTAGTAGGCTTAGTGAGATTTCCATCATGGGCATGTGTAATCTTACAAACTTTTATTTTACTAGGTTTATTATTGAATGTTCATGTTAAGTTCTTGGCAAGGACTTAAACTCTAGATTTTGCAATCTTATGCAGGATGAATTCTCATTGCGTTTAATTTTTGTTGAACAGGAAGGTGATGGATTTGAGAAACCCACACAATCTATTAGCTCCAGTATTGTGGGTGAGGATTTCAGCAACTTTTCCCCCCATCTTTTAGACCTTGAAGATTATAAATATTTAACAATTTCATTCAATTAGATTTACATGATGCTAAAATTTTTGAGATTCTAGGAGTGGCGATTTTTTGCGAGCTGGGCTCTCCCTACAAGCAATGATACATTGTATCAATAAGTTGCTGTTTGATAAAAAAAAAATGGTAACTTTGATAGTTCTTGGACTGTTTGGAGATTATATGTAGAACATCAGTCGTGATTAATTTCCTCAAAGTGCTTTTTTATTCGGTTTGCAGAATGAAATTAAAAGAAAAAAGAAAAAAAACTGTAAATAATAGATAATAGGCTTTTTGGTTCTGATTTGTGAAGTGCATTTTAGAGCTGCGATGTATCATAAACACCATATCTGGTTGCTCCTATATAAGAACCTACAATGTATTATAGGTGGCTCTAAAGACTTCAGAAGAGAGAATATGGCATCTCAAGACCAGAGACAGTCATCTTTCGGTACATCTTTTTGCAAGAAGATAGACGGAAACGTATGGTGCTTAACTACGTATTTTTTATCTAAATTTCATACGGCTTCGTTTCAACCATTAATATAATTACTTATGTCACTTGCAAATTTGTTAAGCAGACAGACTGTGGCGCAGTCCAAGCATTTGGTAAAGAGATGTCAATGTTGGGTCCATGTAAGCATCAGAAAATGAAAAATGGTAAGGAAGTCTCACAAAAGCGAAGGCATAGAGACCCATCATTAAGACGCTCTCCCTCGAAACACCAAAGGAATAAACATAAATCAAATGGCAATGAAAAGGACAGAGCTTCTTCCATTTATTGTCAAGACATTAGAGAAAAGTTTTCCAATTTCTATCTGAAGATGTAAGTTGTTTTTCCCTCTATACTTCTGTTCCTTTTTTATTATTTGGAGAGGGGATACTATCAGATTTTAGGAAGATCACCGGTGTGAAGAGCGGCCTTTTTCAGCCAATTCCCAGCATTATTCAGAATTTCTTCTCTCCATAATCAGCCCATTTGCATCTTTGTCTCAGAAACCATACAGGGAGAGAACGGGGTGCACTCATGGGACTTTAAGTTCTCTAGAAATTTATCTGAGAGGGAGATAGAGGAGGTCTCAAAACTCGTCTGTCCATAATCTGCCTTTCTGTTGGGGTTCTAGATAGACAAGTGTGGGGTTTAGTTCGAAGCTCGTCTGTCCAGAATCTGAGGCTTTTTTCAGTCAAATCTTTTTTTTTTTTTTTTTTTCCATTCTTGATTAATGACCCCTAATGCTACCCCCTTTGAGCTTTTCGATCTTGTTTGGAAATCCCGTATTCCTTCTAAAGTTAAAATATTTTGTTGGTTACTAAAGTTTTGGCAAACTGAACACTCACAATTTAATGCAGCGAAGGAAACCGTTTGTCTCAATTTCTCCATGTTAGTTTTTCTTATGCAAGAAGAGTGGTGAATCAATGGACCACGTGTTTTTGCATTGTCCCTTTTCTTATAGCATCTGGTGTTTATTGTTGAAGAAGTTGGGACTTTATTGGGTCACTCCGAAGATCTGTAAGGAGTTGTGTGTGTCTTCCTTTTGGTATGGACATAACAAAAGGAGAGAATATTCCAGCAAGGAGTTTTGTGACCTTCTCTTCTCAGATCTAGTTAGAGACTGGTCATCTTTTTTTATAGATTTTTTAGGCTTTTGGTTCATCAGTTGTAACATTTTTTCCCATTTTATCTTTAATAAAAAAAATTTTGAGTTTCTTTTTCAAAAAAAAAAAAAAAAAAAAAAAAAAAAAAAAAAAAAAAAAAAAAAAAAGAAAGAAAGAAGAAAAAAAGAACAGAAACAAAAGGAGAGAACATTTGGGGAAAGTAGCAGTTTTAGCCATTTTTTGGGGTACATGGTCGGAGAGAAATCCTAGAATTTTTTCGGGTCGTGAGGAAGATTTTACCATTATCTGGAATGGTAAATATTCCGTTGCAATTTGGGTCCATAAAGGATAAGGAATTTAGAAGCCTGTTAGCTGGGACCCTTTTTTTGTAGCTTAGTCTTTTTTTTCTTCTCTCTTTATTTTTTTGTTTTGTTTTGTTTTGGCTCTTTTTTTTTTATGCTGTATTTTCTTTGTGGTTATCATTTCCTCTTTTGGCTGTACATAATTCATATTATTAATACAAGTTTCTTGTTTCGAAAAAGAAGAAAAAAAAAAAAGAGATCACGTTACCATTAGTACCAGTTTGTAATTTGAGATGTGCTTTCCTTTAGCATGCTTGAACCCTCAATATTTCATTTTACTCTCTCTCTCTCTCTCTGATAGGAACGAGGCATTTCCAGTCTCAGATTCTAATGCGTCAAGGCCTAGGAAGGTACAGAGAACTCTTTAATAACTCAGAAAATTATCTTGTAATTTTGGGAGTCCCCCCTCCCCCTCTTAAAAGTAGATTAACAATCTCTCCTCTATTACTTGAAGTTATCGGAGACGATAGTGCTCCCCCAGGATGAATCAGTACTGCTGCCCTAGATTTTTTATTCTATCATCGTAATTCTGTATTCTTTTAAAGTTCGTCATCTTCATTCACTCAGAATCCATGGTAACCTTGTTCGACCAGGAAGAGACCATTGTTCTTGTAGATGAGGAGGAGCCTCAGCTTATAGGCACAACACAGGAGGAGGAGCCTCAGCTTATAGACACAACACGAGAGGAGCCTCAGCTTATAGGCACAACGCATGGGGAGCCTCAGCTTATAGACACAACACCAGAGGAGCCTCAGCTTATAGACACAACACCAGAGGAGCCTCAGCTTATTGACACAACAAAGGAGGAGTCTCAGCTTATAGAGAGAGAACAAAAAGCGGAGAAACCTGATGAATCGTAAATATCCAATACTTTAATTTTTTTTCCCTCCATATTTCAATTTACAATATGAATGTGTTTGATCAATAATTTGAATGTCCCTTAAATTTTTCAGAATGAAAGATGTGAAGATCTACTACCCTTCAAGGTATACAAAGCTTGCTTCTTACGGATGAGGCCAATTGACCTTGTTGAATTATGAATGTTAGTATTTTCTTATGAAGCCTGTGTATTTCATTTTTTATTTTTAATGTTAAAAACTTCTAGGGATGATCCGGAATCTGTTGAAATTTCTTACGTGGACTTTGATTGCCTCGCCCCTGAAGCCTACTTGACATCAACTATCATGAACTTTTATATGCGGTAATTTTTATAAGTATACAGCTCGTTTTCTTTGTTGCCACTATTTCTGTCTAAGCATTTTCTTTTTTCAGTTGCTTTATCTCTACGTATGATTATTCTTTTTCCCTTGTGCCATGTTGAGTATCAATAAAGGTTGTTTCTTATGCCTAAGACCATCTGATCTGTTGGGCACTGGGGGGGTTGGGTTGGATGGGGTGTGGCTTTAAGGGTGGGTGCAGGTTCAATCTCGCCTTGTATCATAAAAAAATAAAATAAAATAAAATAAAGAGAGAGAGAGAGTACTTTCTATTATTTGATCGGACTTTTAATAAAGTTTGTTTCATGTTAAAAAGAAAAAGTTTGATTTCCTGGCTTAGAAACTTTGGTGCACGGCAGTTAGAAATTATGGTAAACTAGTCTATTGGTTATAGATTTTCTTTATGATACTGGCATGATCTTGATTGTAACCATTCCACAATATTTTGCTTGATGTTGTTGGTTTTTTGGACTCTTAATCAAAGGTCACTTTATCCACCCTTGAATTGCTGCAACCTCTTTTCATTGTTTGTCTGCATATTTAATGAATTTTCTGTTGGATCATTGTTTTCATTGTTTGTCTGCATATTTAATGAATTTTCTGTTGGATCATTGGCTAGGTATCTACAACAACATGCTTCTCCAACAAACAGGGTGATGCGTGATTGCCATTTTTTTAATACGTACTTTTACAATAAGCTCCAAGGGGCTGTATCAGATAAGGTAGTTTGTTCTTTTCTTTGTTTCTCCCTACTTGTTATCCCCCAAGAGAGCACTATTCATTCCTAGAGGATTGAAATTATGGTCCAAGTGCCAGGGCAACTTGGTACCGTTCTTTACTATTTTCCTGATGTTTAACAGCAATGTCCTTTTCCTAGTTTTGTAATATTTATTATTAACATCTAGGGAAGCGGCAACAATGGATTTTTTGTCAAGTTCAGAAGGTGGTGGAAGGGTGTAAATATATTTCAGAAGGAATACATACTTATTCCAATAAATGAAAGGTATACTTATTCCAATAAATGAAAGGTATGTTTTTTCTGCAGCTATAGAGTGATTCAGGAATAAATTAAACATGTGAGTATATGTTTCCTCTTAAGCGCGCGTGTGTGTATGTGTTTTAGTTTATTATTATTTTTTAATTACTAGTATTCCACCTAAGATATCGATTTCTTTGAAATAGTGCCGAGCTATAATTTCTGCTTTATTCCCCTTTTCGTTTTTACCATAATTCAGGCACATTTTTACTCTTCATGATGTTTGATGTGTGTCCAGTCTTCATTGGAGCCTGGTGATTATCTGCAACCCAGAAAAGGAAGAACGATCAGGACCCATTGTACTTCATTTAGATTCATTAGGACTTCACTGTAGCAGAACAGTTTTTCAAAACATTAAAAGGTGAGACAAAAGGTTCTTTCTTAATTTGGTCGTTAGTGAATAAAAAATTTCAACTAAAAAGTTTTAAAAAGTACATAAATCGATCTCAACATTAATTAGGTATGGTATGGAAATAGCTTTGTTTTATTTCAGGTTCCTAGATTAGTTTCTAAAAAGTGTAAAGTATTTCATATGTTGATTTTAATTTGTAGCTTCTTGAAAGAAGAATGGAAATATTTGGCCCGGGAAGTTTCTCCTTCAGATCTTCCTTTTGCAGAAAATATATGGAATCATCTCCCTCGAAGGATCACAGAAAAACCTATCGCGGTAAATTTTGTCATCTAGTACTTTAACTTTGATGTGAAAAGTATTTGAATTGTATATACTTGTCTATCATATAGTTCACGACATATTGAAAAATGCACGTTAGGGCCTCATACTTACCAAAGGCTATCATAGATTCATAATCATGCAAATACCCTATCTAAGAATAAGTCTGCAAAAGACAATTTCATGTTTTTTGCTACCAATATTTTCCAGTTTCATGGTTATGCCTTCAGCTTTCTTATGCTAGAAGCAATTTAGTTGTTTCTAACCATTCCTTTTTATTTTGGAAAGTTGATCAAAGAAATTTGGCTGGCTTCTTTTTGCAGCCTAGGCCCACTTATCAATTTGTATGTGTTCATATAGATTTATATCAGTATAAGCACAAAAGTGCTCTAAAGCTTTATTCGTGGGCTTCGGATTCAATTAAGCTATTAATTTGGGACTACAGAAAAAATTATGTTCTCGGTTGCTGAATTACAGCTGCTGTGGAGATCTTCTTCTTTTCTTGAAGTATACGGTTAGACTATGACTTTCCACCTTTTTTTTGTTTTTTGGGTGTTCTTCAACATGTTCCACCAGGTACCCCAACAGAAGAACGAATATGATTGTGGTCTTTTTGTGCTTTTCTTCATGGAACGTTTCATAGAAGATGCTCCTGAAAGACTCAAGAAGAAAAATTTAGAAATGGTATCTTGTTATGTTCTTTCATACGGTTCCTGTTAATATGATTATGATGAATTAATTTCTTTGCAATAGGATCTTTAATTTTTAAAAGAATTGCAAATTGTCTCCATCTAGTTTAATTTCACGCGATGTTTTGTGGATTCTATTTTCAATTTTCAGTTCGGCAAGCGGTGGTTTAAACCTGAAGAGGCCTCCGGCTTGAGAGGGAAAATTCACAAGTTGCTCATGGAAGAATTCAAAAATGCACAAAAGAGTAGTTGTACATTGGACTCTTCACCTTCTTCTTCTAGTGATGTCTTAGAAGGATGAATCAAAAACCCAAGTTCAACAAAGGGGTTAAATTTGCTTCAAGTGGTGCTTTAGAAGAATGAATCGAGGCCAACCCGAAGGTCGGATTTGGTGCACGTTGCTACTAATTTCTCCAATGCAGTCTTTGTATAGATCACATGATTGGTACATCATACAGATAACATTGCTTACAACCTACTTTCGTCTCAATCTGTAAATGGTCAATCATCTTTGTAAATGATGACAGTTTTTGGTGACTTAGGAGCTCCTCTAACTGAAGACTAAAGTTGAGGAGCTATAGTTCTGAGAGGTGGCGGTGGTGATGGTGGTTCTTTAAGCATAGACGTCCACCATCTACCCCCTCTAAGCTGACAAGTTGTATCCATGGCTTTTAAAGTAACATCCACTAACTTGGAATTTTAAGGATTTGTATGAGCTACAATTTTTGAGGATTTGATGAGCAGGAATGGACAATATAGGCTAAGCCTCAAAGGAGCAAAAAGAGTTGTATAAAATTTATGGTAGAACTATAATATTGTTCACATTTTTCTTAGAATTTATATGCGGGCTCAAATTTGAATACTAGAAGATGAAAATATACAATTCAATCAAGTAGTTGAACAGAAGTAGTCCGTTGTACAAATGATAATAATTGAAATAAATTAAACAGCTTAAATTGTCTCTCTTTTCATCTTTTAAAGGCTGATATTTGAGCGGCGAACATAATTAAAATAAGAACATAATTTATTTTAAAATTTAAAGGCAGTTTGTTTTATATATTTAAATTTAAATTATTGATTCAGTATTTTTTTTTTATAAAAAATATAAATTTTATATGTCAGAATTAATAATTATAATTTAAGAGTCGTTTGTTTCATATATTAATAGCCCATTTGGTTGGAAGATTCGTTCTCTGATTCGAATCATGGTTTATGGTTCGCTACAGTATTTTTTCTCATAAAAAACACACGTAAATAAAAAATGGTTTTAATCCATAAATCAAACGGTCAAATTATACTTTTGCTACTGTATTTTTCTCATAAAAAAATTTAAATTTTAAATGTCAAAATCAATAATCATAATTAGAGTATACTTTCTAAACGAGTCCTTAATTTTCAAAGTATTCTATTGTGGGAGTTCTGCGTTTTGGAAATGGAAAATTTTATTTACACCCTAAATTTTTATTAAGGCACCCCAACATATTCAAAATTTGAAATTGTTTTCTTTTTAATACCAAAATCTCATATAATCACACAATTACCCTTATGCACACCCCATATTTAAACCATTTTTATTGAAAAGATTTTACTTTCTTTTTCTTTTTGGCTGATTTTTCATTGAATGAATTTTTCTTTTTTTAATAAATAGCAAATCTCGACTCTAATTACTAAGAAAATTCTCAAACCCCATCAAAACTCCACAGCAATGGCTTAGAAAACTGAGTGCGATAAGAGCAGAACATATATTGACGTTCATTTCAATAACTTTTTCTTTTGAAGTTCGTATATTGCAAATGAGGAAAAAAAAAAAAAACCTCTTACTCGGATTCGATTCTCAAATAAGTTTATCAAGCAAATGAATACCATAAACTCGTGAAAACCACTTGTTAGAATGTAACTGTACATATATCTATATGATCGCGAATCCGCGACATTCAGATCGTGAATTACACCTTTTTTTTTAGTTTTATGTTATACAGGCATACGCTTGGTCATGAATTTACTTTTTTTTTTTTTTGGTTACGAACATAAGAGTATCTACTTGAATAGAATAGGCCTTCCCAACTAAAAGTTGGATGAGAGGAACGCTTCACTAGCGGCCAACACCCGACGCTTTTTCTTGTCAGGAGTCGCATGAACCTGCTTTTTCATGCCATAGGTATTCAGCTGAAAATTTTCAAATGCTTCAGAAACTGCTTCGACCTGCATGATTTATTTCATTCGTAAGAATAAATCCAAGCCAGACCAAAACCTTTGACTCAACAATAAGAGCATATTGAATTTTTTGCTTCACTTACCAGTTCTGGCCTTTTCGCGTACACTCGAACTATCATATCTTGGTAAAACGCAGGCAGCAAATGACTGATGCGGTCATCTTGGATTGAGAATTTCTCATTGCTATCATAATCCCGGCAAAATCACAATTGTTTAATTGACTACGCAAAGTTCGAGTCTTCGCAACCAAACATTGACAAGAGTATCTATAACCAAAAGAATGCGAGAGTCCAGCATTTAGAGTTATAGTACCTTGAAAAACTTGATGCTGGACAACAAGTATATGCATGAAAAGAAAAAAGAACAGTTGTAAAAATAGATAAGAAAAAGCAAAATCTAGTGACGAGTTTTAAGAAAATGAAGAGTTCCTATTCTCGGGGTTTACCTTTCCAGAGGGTTATTTCTTCCTCGAGTCAAATCAATTTTAACATTGCTCACAGCAACATCTTCTTCTCTTAATGTAACACGGCCAGATTTCTGATTGAAAAAGAATGCATTAGAATATCACAAATCTACAGTGGTCGAAATGGGAGCATAACATATGGTCAAAATTTTTGTACCTGGGAACAAATTATGTCTTGGGGAGTGATAACTTTGAAGTAGTCTATTTTCTCCTTTGGAACAGAAAATTCGTTACAGAACTGAAAATCAGATGAGAGTGTTAGAATGTGAACAAAGGTTTAAGTTCTCCATTGATGAAAAATAAAGGACGCACTGCCTCCTACTCTTACTATTTAGGATACCTGGTATAGATCTCTTCTCCGAATGCGTAGGACCAAATCTCTAGCCTCCTTGAGCTCTTGCTTAGAAGAGGTTTCAATTGTCTTCAAAATGGAGTCATCCAACTGAATTTGAAAGACGGTCACTTCAAGGTATAACCATCTAAAATCAACAGCTTTAACGAGAAAATAACGTGTGTAGCTAATGAACCTTCCAAAATTCAGCTGGTTGGTGGATCTTCGACACAATTTCAAGAGAATCATTTGCTTTTATGAGAGCATCTACAACCATGAGCTCAATAGCCTGAGAAAGATTAGAGTCCACTCTCAGATTGGAAAAGAAACATGTGATGTTTAAGATGTAACAAGGAAGGTGTACTTCTTGTACCTTCACTTTGGCATGTGTGTACACTGTTCGATGTAAATCAGCACGAGTGGCAAATAGTTTGTGGATTGTCAGATCTGATAAAGATTCAAGAAGTAAAATGAGGGATGTAATAATTAGCCATTCCAAAATGGCAACAGAATCTTCAAGATTCACTCACACTCCTTTGCGCGATAACATATCTCATCTTCCATAACTCGCATATTTTCCATCAACCTGCAATTCAGAATGAAAGTTCAATTAAAAAGCCCTTCTTGTAATGAGTTTGTCTCTAACAAACAATAAACATGTCACACAAACTTTTAGCAACTTCAAATGACGAGTGAACCATAACATGGATGCTATAAATTTGAGGGCTTGAGCTGAAGAGTGCACCGTAATATAAACACTACAAAATTAAGGGCTTCAGAAAATGTCAAAACCTCTCAGATTGAAAATTGCATCCTAGACCACAAGCTCGAGAGTCACGGATAATGTAATCAAACCTGCAAAGAAATTATACGTTTATCCCAAAAACTTTTAAGACTGAAATTGTGAGAGGAGTGGAGGTGGGGTGCTGAAGATGAAGCCAATTAAGAGTGACTTACTTGTCAACATCTATTCCAGTTCTGCCATTGGCAACAATATCATATAGGAAACTTTTATGCTTCACGCTCTACATTTCAGATTTAAAAAAAAAAAAAAATGGAAATGATTAGAATAAGATATGGAAGTGGATACAAGTAAAGATCACAAACATTAATAAAACGATTTCCAAGGGGAGGAAAAACTGGAAATTAAAACTTATGATGAGTTACCTTGCAAGAATCATGTTCAAAGCTAGCAGTAATCATTTCCTGTCATTTTGAAGGAATAAGGATAGGTAAGATTCACAAATAATGAAGAATCAAATACTTTTCATTCTTATAGTTGCAGTTAATATCTATCATCCTTCATGTGTGAAACAAGCCAGTATAGAAACATTTAGCATTTGGAGCGGTCTCACACAAATAGTATACCAGAAAGGGATATCGATTGGAGACATGGAAAAGTGTCTGTGAGCAGTCTCAGCAGAACAAAATTCGACATAATGAAATTAAGTGGAAAAGGAACTGCTAGAGCAATGCGATCCTACCATTTATATATTCCTAGGTTTGAAAAGAAAACTTGCATCTTTCTGCCTATATGATCAAATTTTAACAGCTCGGAAAACATTGCTCCTGAAGACATTACTGTGAGATAAGTAAAGACTCATATGGCATAATAAACCTTCACTCCTTTCAGGGTGGCAGAATCAATTTCAATATTGTGCTCATCAACAATGTAGTCTATCATTTCCACAGACATGTCCTCGTGAGACCTGCAAAATAGTAGAGATGATAGCCAAAACTGGATCAAATCCTCTCAGCAAAGACATTCACCAGTTATAACCACCAAAATATTTTCATGCTTGACGTGCACAAAGTTTTGTCACAGCTTCTTTAGTTTAAAGTTCTTATTTTTCATATTTTGTTTATGCATTCAAAGTTAATGCACGAAGAAAAAAGGGAAAGAAAAAGCAGGGTTTGTCTTGAAGTTGATGAATCTAACAACTATACCATCCTATACTTGTTTAGATGATCAGATCAGGGCAGTTCTAACGAAAAGGCAAGTGATGTGTTGAATGTAATTTTCTTTGGACTTTTTATGGATATAAATAAAACCTAATCAAATTGAAGACTGTTTGAGTCACCATTTATGGCCATTAAGAACCCGAGGCAGGAACTCGCGCTCAAACAGGTGGCTGAAAGGCCCATGGCCAACATCATGAAGCAATCCTATACAGAGATTAAACAAGATTGGTCAATCAGATTACTTGGTCTAAATTATTTGCTGCTATCAGGAATAGTTGGATTACCGGCAAGTTTTACCGTCTTTATATCATCACGATCAATATCAAGCTCCAATCCCTGTGTGGATGGCATGCAAAGGAGAAAAATATTTCACTAGTAGGTTCAACTATGAGAAATAAGAATGATAAACTGTGAGAAAGATTCCTACTTGGTAAGCTGTAATTCTGTTAATAGCATCACCCGCTAGCCAGTACACCCCAAGTGAATGTTCAAATCGAGAATGTACACCACCAGGATAAACCATATGTGTCAGCCCTGGATAGAAGCAAGACAACTCGAAGGCCTCACATATTATATTCCAAAAGCAAACGTTTTTTTGTGAAGAAAATGTCTGACAGCGAACTAAAAAGTGTGTCTGAGACTCGGCTCTAACACAAATTTAATGTGGAAAAATATATTTCAAAACTGTATTCATACTTCCACTAGGCCAGCAAGCACATCAAGAATTCAAGAAGTTTGCACGAAATTAAAGTTGTCTAGAAAGCTATTACATCTATCATAGATAGATTCCATTTCATTGGATTCCTTGTTTTTAGGAAGAAATAATCAGTTTGCATTCTGAGCGGCAGTGGACCGATTTATAGATTATCAAAATTCCCTAAATCCATAAATTTAGGAGATTTAACATAAAGAAAGTCAGTTATTATCAATGAATAACTAACTTCTGAAATCCACAGGCGACAGTTGAATCAAAAAATAACTTTACAATTTTGCTTTGCTACAACAAACGCGACTTTTTTTTTTTTTAGCAGAAGTCTACTTACCAAGTTGCTTCAAGTCACGAAGCCTGCAGTTTGTGGTTACATCATCAGCAAATCGTCACAATAATTGAGCTAACAAAAATGTTACCCTTGCTTGGAAATTAATCTAACTTACCTCTGAAACTGTTCAGTATCAATGAACTTCAAAAACAGCTATAAAACACAGATAAAAAATAGTAAGCAGATGATTTTTATATTTGTGTACAGTCCAATAAACATTGACTTTATACTTAATCAATAATATATTAACATACTAACTCACAGTGCGGAAAAATCTGTCCGCCTAAAGGAATCAAGAATATGTCTCTTAAGCAATTAAGATGTCGTGTCGAAAGGAAATTCCCTTTAATTACAAATCTACACCTCAAAAAACGTATACAATTCAAATTCTCCAGGTCCTTGCATTTATCCGAACCAAAAGCTCAATGATTTTACTTTTTTTCTCTCTTAAAAACCTCAAATGATATTGCAGAATATTACAGTAATGAGTCTTTTTTTTTAATTATAAAAAACTTTATATTGAAAATGGAAATCAATACAAAGGAAGAGAACAAGGGGTCCTCGAAACAAAAAATGAAAACTAACGACAAAACAAGGAAAATTAATTCCCAAATATCAATGATCTATTACATTAAAAAAAGAACTTAATGAAAACAACTATTTGAGAAGAAAAACCATTAAAATTGATTCAGTCAAATTTCTAGCTCCAAATCATGCTACTAAGATTCATCTCGATATTAGGTGCGGCGTCGATGAGATAAACCGAAAAGAAATTAGGGGAGATAAGAGGATCAAGATATTTTAGTCCGAATCGACGATTCTCCATATCATAAAATTACGTTCAAAGGAGAAAACAAATCTGCGCAGGAATACACTAGTATACACAGAGACTACCAGAGAAAGAATCACATAGAATTCAATCCAAACATGAATAAGCATTCTAGAGTTCACATAGAATTCAATCCAAACACGAATAAGCATTCTAGAGTTCACATAGAATTCAATCCAAACATGAAGAAGAATCTATCGCCGAAGCGAAATTACACTCGTTCAATCTACATCGTATCAGTTCGACTTGAATCTTCAAGAGAAAAATCAAATTCAGTTAATTAACTTGTTTCAAATTTAAAATTCATCACCTAGAGAATCAAAACACCGCAGAGAAACGAGGACGAAAACGAAGATTCGAGAAGAAAAACCACAGTAGACATAAAAACGCAGAGATAATCGAATGAAAAATTCAAATCTGATCATACAGGTTCAAGATAGATGTTGCCGTGAACGTTGTCGCGGACATGCTTCAGCGATCGCCGGTCCTTGGAGATGAGCGCCCACACATCTTCACCCGGAGAAGCTCCCATTCTTCTCTCAGTCAACCGGAAAATGGAGAGAGAGAGAGAGAGTGAGAGGTGATTTTGCGTGAATGCAAATTAGAGAATAGAGAGGGAGATGAAATAGTAGACAAGAGAAGTATGTCTGGAATTTTGGAATAGCGGGAACGAATATATGCCGCCAAAAGGCGTTGGCACATCTACACGATTGCTCAAGCGCGAGGAAAAAACTGTAGTCCGTTTATGAATTTATTTTTGACAGTTTACAATTATGTGATTTAATGTGATAAAAACATTAAATATAATTTTTTATTAAAGTTTTTAAATATAATAAAATTAGAATTAAAAATTTAAATTAATAAAATAAATGAGGTATTTTAATTTTTTTATAAATTTTTTATTTTTTTAAAAGTCTCTTTAATTTATTAATTTAAATTTTTAATTTGAATTAAAATGTGATTTTATATGATAATTGTTTATTATAATAAAAAATTAAATATAATATTTTTTAAAATTTTTTTATTTTAATAAAATTTAAATTAATAAAATGAAGGAGATTCTACTCTTTTCCGAAAAATGTGTTACGTGTAAAGCAGATGGATAGGGGTCAGCAAGAGTTGACGACGCGTACTGTGGAAATTGGAGGACTTCTTTATTTTATCTAATTTGTCACTTAGTATGAAAAGACAAGACAAATGGAGCTATAGCTCGTTTCTTAGGATAAGAAGAGAGTTTAGTAAAAGATTCGTACTCTAATTTAAATTATAATTTATAATTTTTTATAATAATTTTTTTATAAAAAATATATATAAATTAAAAATAATTTTAATTTTATTATTTTAATTTATAAACCAATCGTAATTGAAATCTTAGAACGATGGCAAAGATGAGTTGTCCATCACAATAATCTGCCCACGTGGCTACTTTCGAGGGAGTTGTTAGTTTCCAAAGTTCTTTTAGAGAAGAAACAATTTGTGCCATAACGTTGTTGGCTTGTTGCTCCCAATCACAGCGAGCTTCTCGCGTCCTTTTAAAGTGTTTTCATGGTATTTTACCAGTTCATATATTTATTATAATTTTTATAACTTCAACGTTTGAAATTCACAAATCACAAGGTAAAATGCATAAATTACAGATTTATTATAACTTTTACAACTTCAACGTTTAAAATTTACAAATCACAAAGTAAAATGCATAAATTATTGTATTTACAAATTGATCGTAATTTACATAATTTTAATGTTCGAAGTTCATAAATTTTAAGGTAAAATGTGAACTACCCAAAATTATCTCCGGGCACTGTACAAGTTCCCTCTTAACAAATTTAATTTCAATTTGGTTATTGATATTACCACTTTTCCGTTGTACTTTCATCTAACTAAAGTCTAAGATTTTCATATGATGGAAGGCTTCGTTGGAAGCTTTTCTAGGCAAGGACCAGGGTTATCCCAACAGGGGACAAATGACAAAAAACACTATAGACCTTAACTAAATTATAGGCCTTCGTAATTCAACACAAATTGATAGCAATAGCATATTCTAGTTTGGAAGTTAGTGAGAATTGATTCAGCAGACCCTAATGACAATACCCAACTGGGAGAGAAGGGGAAGGCCCGTTCATTTCACCGATTCGAGTTTAGAATTCGAGTTTTGCTACAGTAAAAATCTCTCAGAAGCAGTCACATCTAACTTTTTTACTACAGTAAAAAACTCTCACATAAAATCACATTTTAACTCGAATTATAAACTCGAATCAACGAAGTGAACAGACCCGCCTTGCAATGCAAAATTGATAGTAGGCTTACGTACAAAATGTGACAATGGAGAAACTTTATAAAACGGAATGGCTACTTTAAGTCACACCCAAATTATAAGTTGCATTTACAATTCATATTAAAATAATTTTATTTTTTATATGAAAATAAAAATAAAAATATTTTCAATTTCAAATACAAATCATTTTTAAAAATGTGTTTAAAACCCGTTTAGTTCGCTGATTCGAGTTTTTAATTCGAGTTGAGATGTAATTTTATGTGAGTTTTTTATTGTAACAAAAATGTTTGATATAATTATTTCTAAGAGCTTTTCACTGTAACAAAACTCGAATCGATGAAATGAACATAATCTTAGTAGTTTTATCAAGAGATTCTTTTCAATATAAAAAAACTCATTAATATCTTTCTCTGCTCGAGAGAGGAGAAAACGAAAACAAAAAATGAAAAACAATTAAAAGTTATTTTTTATTTTTCTCTCATTTTACACTAAATTAAAAAATCGTTTTCATTTTTATTTTTTTACTTTAATTGTACCAAACGCCGTTTTGAAATCGTTTTTATTTTTTTCTCAAAAACGTGAAAAACAAAAACAATTTCAAACACGGCAATAGATTTTACAAGCAGTTTCCATGTTGAATGGTGTGCGTACGGGCTATAAAGATAAATCTCCCTAGATTTTGGTGTTTGTCATTCTGTCTTTGTGTTGTTTTAATTATCTTGCTCTGAGTTTTCCATGTGATAGGCGAAGTTGGAAAGCTCCTAGGCATGCCATGCTAGCATTCCGTGATAGAAATTCACCAACAATTGGCACATTTGGTTTCCATTTTAGGTGACAATGGACCGATTTTGCCCTAATTATCCAATGAGTCATGCAGAAAGTTCGATGACTGTACGGAACTTCTCCGGCACACGTAGTACGGGAGCCTTAAGAGCACCAGGCTTGCCAAGCTGACCGCAGGCAGCCATCTGATCATCACCTCTACTAAGCCGCAAGAATACAACGCATCCTGCTTCAGCCAAATGATTTCGAAACTCTATCATCTTTGCTTCACCGGTTGGTCTGAATTGAGATCCACTGTGGGGATTGAATGAGATCAGATTGACTTTGCACGGAATACCCTGAACAAGATCTACAAGCCTCCTTGCGTCCTCGATGCTGCAAAGTACGATGAATTAGTACAATAAGAGGAAAAAGAAATGGAGATGATCGCTAATTGGGACTAATTAATGTGAATTCTGACAGTCCAATCCTTTGAGACAATACTATGATGATGTATAAGATGCTGTACAACGTCTGAACTTAAAATCATGAAACCAATCTTCCTGAAAATCCGCATAGAGAAAAATGAAAATACATCCAAACCAAGCAACACGAAGAAACATAAAAGTCAATCTAACCTGTCATTAACACCGGCAAGCATTACATATTCAAATAGGACTTTATAGTTCTGCTTGAAGCGAAGTTCCTCCCTTAGGGTCTGAAGAAGCACTTCCAATTTATATTTCCCGTTGATTGGCATAATCCAGTTCCTGACCTGCAAAATCAAACCACAATCAAGGTTAAACATTTATATTTTGCTGCAGAGCAATAATGGTTTTGTGTGTACGCATGACTTGCACACGACGATAAAGTTGAAAGAAATACCTCATCAGTTGTGGCATTCAAACTAACAGCTAAAGCACAGTTGGACTCTCGTAGGAAACGCTTCAGCTGAGGGACGAGCCCACTTGTTGACACAGTGACCTTTCGAGGACTGAAATGCAAGCCTTGGTCATGCACCATGATGGCTGCAGCTTTGATGACATTGTCAATGTTGTGAAGCGGTTCTCCCATTCCCTGAAAGTATGCATCACAGCTATTATAAGACACCAACAAAGAAAATGTTTATATTCAGGCCTTTTCCCCCCTCTTTTCTAAGCTCAGAATCAGAAATAAGATAAGGTTCGAGAGGTACATACACTAGTAGACTTTGACAGGGAAAACATGTCAATATATAACATTAATGAAAACATGCGACGATTTCCAATCTGGTTTTCAATATACTGCTAAAAGGCTATGGTTGTCTAACAACTCTTTTGAGGGCTCACCTACCATAAACACAACATTCGAAATGAAACCGACTTCACTGGTGAGCAGGCGCCTCGCATATACAGCCTGCTCCACAATCTCAGCTGCAGTCAGATGTCTCGTTAATCCCATCCTGGAAAGTTGTAAAGGAAGAAATATAACCTTGCACAGCTTAGGCAACTAGAAACTTGGCATTTGGCAACAACAAACATATATCGAAGCATAGCTTTAACCAAGAATGGAAATGAAAACAAAGCTCACCTGCCAGTGTAGCAGAACTGGCAATTCATGGCGCAACCCACTTGGCTCGAAACACAAACGGTATTCCGAGTTCGACCACTGTCGCAAGGTATAACAACGGTTTCTATCACCAAACCGTCTGCCAACGCGAACAAAATCTGCAACCACCACCTGTGAGTATCACAATCAATACCCAGAAGCTATACAAGCCACAGAGTCTACCAAATTACATAAACAAACAAGGATAGCTAACAATGTCAACCTTCTTAGTTCCATCTAATGCCGAGAGAATTTCCTTCAAAGATAACGCCTTGAACTCGGCATTTTCACTCAGCATCTTCTTGAAATCCTTATTCAAACCTAAAGAAAAAAAAATTCACAAATTTTCAAATCACACAAAAGTAATTCCCTTACGAACACAAAAATTAGACTTAAACAAAAGCCAGAAAGTATGAACCTTCCAATTCATCACAGTGATGAGCCCAAATATTGTCCCCATACAAGCGTTTCCACAGCATTAAAGCCTGGCCAGGCCTGAACCCCTGTGACTGGACCCATTTCTGTAATACCACCATATTTTCTCTTCGTCATTAGAATTGTAACTCTCAATCAATCAAAAACAAATAAATAATGATAAAATAAAACACACATACTTCAAGTTCGGAGTATGTCATGCCCTTGAGAAGCAGCTTGGAGGACTTGGTTGGAGCTTCAGTTCTGTTAATTCCTCTATCGGAGCCGAAATCGAGGTCGCCCGGTGCAAGAGAACTTGACGAAGAAGAAGAAGAAGAAGAAGCGGTGGCCGTCGAGAGCGAGCGACGTGGAGAGGAGAAAAGGAGAAGGAGATTATGTTGTGGTTTGGAGAAAATGAGGGAAGATGGTTCTCTGTGAGATGAAGATGAGGGAAACGGAGGGGTTGGTGAAGGCAGAGAGTTGGGCCTGAAGCGGATGCGTCTCAGCCACACACAGCCCATCTCCATGGCGATATGGAGATCTTTGACACACCTCGGAAGTGAGAAAGTGAGAGGGTTCTGTACTTTTGGCGGCTTAATTCCTCATCCCACTCTTTTTATTTTTATTTTTATTTTTGTTTAATTTAAAATAATTAATACGGATAGTCCTAACCTTCCAATTTAGTTCATATCCTTTTAATTTTAGTAAAATAATCCCCAATATTATTAATAAGGTATGTTATTTTATCAATTTGAGTTTAAAATTTAAATTTTATTACAGTATAAAATTCTCAGAAACAGTTACATTTAACTTTTTATTATAGTAAAAAATTCTCAAAAACAATCATATTTAATTTTTTTACTACAGTAAAAAACTCTCACATAAAAGCATATTTCAACTCGAATTAAAAATTTAAATCAATAAATTAAACGAACCATAAATCAATACAATTAAAACATTTTTATCCAGTTGTGTTAAATTATTCACGTTAAAATCTATATGACCCGATTATAAAGGTTATTTTCGTAAAATCACAAGGTTTTTTTTCAAGCATAATAAATATTTTGAAAAACATAATAAAATATAGAAAATAAATTGAAACCTAAAAATATATAACTCTTTCTTTTTTTGACAACTCAGGACTCGTTCAGTTCGTTGATTCGAGTTTTTATTTTGAGTTGAGATGTGACTTTATATGAGAGCTTTTTACTATAGCAAAAAAGTTAAATGTGATTGTTTCTGAGAGATTTTTACTGTAGCAAAACTCGAATTCTAAACTCGAATCGGAAAAATGAACGGGGCCTCAGTCTCTCTCCTCTCTTCTCGCACTCTCTACGACCACCCTCCGCCTCCACGCTGCGGACTTGGTGCCCGGATTCCGCCGATCAACCCTACTCCGCCATCCCCTCCCCTCATTGCAATGTGGTTTCCTCAAGACCCGCATCAGCCGTCGTTCTTCTTCCCCCATTGCGCCGCTCATCGTCACCTCTTGAACGCCGCCGCCGCCTTAGGATTTGGGTTTTAGTTTTATGATTTTCGTTGTAATATTGGTTTTGTGATTTTGTTTTCGCAAAAAGATCTTCGACGGTGGAGGGGCAGCGGGCCCTAGGCACCCCTCGATGGGGGTAGGAATGGACAGTGGGCTAGAGGCGGCATGATGTGGGCATTGATCTGAAGTGGGGTTTGGCGCCGAAGGAAGGAAGAAGATGTGAATAGAAGAAATAGATGCCAAGATCTGATTTTGTTTTCAAACCCATATCTATTTTCTTCACCTTCTTTTTTATATGGTTGAAGGGTCTGTTTAATTAGTTGATTCGAGTTTTTAATTTGAGTTGAAATGTAATTTTATATGAGAGTATTTTACTGTAATAAAAAAGTTAGATGTGACTGTTTTTTTAGAGTTTTTTACTGTAATAAAACTCAAATTTTAAACTTAAATTGGTGAAATGAACGGGGTTTAAATGTTTTAAAGCTCGTTTAGTTGGCTGATTTAAATTTTTAATTTGAGTTTTTAATTTGAGTTGAGATGTGACGTTACGTGAGAGCTTTTTACTGTAGTAAAAAAGTTAAATGTGACTGTTTTTTAGAACTTTTTACTGTAACAAAACTCAAATTTTAAACTTAAATCGGTAAAATGAACGATACCTTAATAATATTTATGTTGGTGATTTGTGTTGTTGAAATTCTTATCTTCAATCTATGTTTGTGATTCAATTTGATCTCTGGTGTTGGTGCTTCAATTTGATCTGTCCTATTGTAGTTTTTCTTAGTTTTATTATTTGGATTGAGGTAGAACTTAGAAGAAGTAAGAATAGTTTTGTTTCTTTTTTGTTTTTATTTTAATTTACCATTTTCCTTTTTAAAATATTTTCAAAATTTTCCAACTCAAACATGAGTTTAGGGTAATTTTGTCTTTTCATGGGTCATATGGGTTTTTTAGGGGTCACATGGGTTTTAACGTAGATTTAATAGATTTATACATAATGGACTTAATTGTACTAATTTAATGACGTTGGGGATTATTTTATCAAAATTAAAAGAATAGAGATTAAACTGTTACCTACTAAAAAGGTTAGGGACCACATGTGCCAATTACCTTTTAATTTAAATATGGGGGTGAAATGTGGTTTTGAAACCCTAGGAACTAGATCGCAGGATGGAGATGAAACAGGTGCTCCAGCGCGTGTATCAATCGCCACTGGTGGCGGAGGCGCGTGTGCCCCACGCACTACCGAGTTTTAAGTGTTTTCAATGTTGTTTTGGGAGGTTTTTTTGGCGTTGTTTTAATTGTTCCTCTCAAATTTTTGGCATTGAGAGACTCATTATTGTTGATTGATTTCTTCGATTTTTCTCTAGTTTTTGTGTCAAAGTTTATGTGCTTGTAATAAGGGTAGTGTTTTCCTCACCCAACCCTCTTTCGTTTTGTTGTTTAATGCTAGTTTCTGTCATCAACTTAAGGCCATTTGTATGCTTCCTGATTGTGTGGACTTCTTGGTCTAGCTAGATATTTGTCTATGTCGTGTAAAGCTGCAAGTTTGGGCCGAGCTAAATGAACTGGCTTGAGACCTGACACTATTGGTTAAGGCTCAACCCAGACCAATCCTAAATTTTTTGGGTTTAGGGCTAGGTTGGGCCAACCCTCTTTCTTTTAGGGTCGGGTCGACACGGCCCAAACATCATATTTTGAAATATTTTTTTGAAAATACCTTATAAAATTTCGGGTCAGGTCAGGTCAGCCCTAAACTTTTTAAGCTTAAGGCCAGGCTGAGCCGGACTAAAATTTTCCTTTGGACCGTCAGGCTGGGCATCCCAAACTTACACTTCTAATGTCGTGTTGCTGATGTCTTCTCTTTAAGAGGGCTAGTGATTTGTTCCTTCAGAGCTCAGAATTCTATCTCGCTAGGAGGAGTTTCTTCAATTAAAGCTTTAAGTGTGCTCGTTTAGTGTGTCAAACTTTTCTTCTGTTTTTTAGCCTCAAGCGTACGTATGTTCCTCCTATGGGTCATTAACATTGTATCAAATTGGTTGTTTCTCGGTTTTTATTTAAATGCAATATCCTTTTAAGAAAATATGGGGTGAACTTTTCAAAAAAATATATATATGGGGTGAAAATGAAACGTGAAAAATATATGACTTGAGCAATGGTGGCGGAGAAATAAAACATTTCTTTTTCCTAAATTGTAGAATAGAACTAATTTAGAACTATGATATTCCATTATTTATACATATCATGCATATAACTTTATGACATGGAGTTTGATATAAACTTACTGTTGACCATACTATTATCATCCTTATTAATATCATTACATGTGCATTATTATATGACGATTTTGATGAACTAATACAAGGTGCTAAAGTGATAAGTGGTATTTTCAAACATTTATTTTTAAGATTAAAACCTCTTTCGTAACAAGAAATGAATGACAAATGAGAAACGGCATTTAAAGGCAAAACGATATCAATTGCCCAAGCGAATAACATTGGAAGACCACTAAACCAAAAAAGGACGATGGAATGGGAGCTGAAATTAATTTGAAAAGAATGTTACCCTTTGCTTTAAACCGAAATTAATAAAGAGAAACCGACACTAAAAACAACCTGAATTTCAACAGCTTTTGCAAACGACATCCGAAGAAAAACGACATCAAGAAACCAGAATAAAATAGAAAAAGAATATATAAATTAGTAAATGAAAAGAAATGTGACTCATAATCTAAGAGAACGACATCAATTATAAAATCGACAACAATTATAAACGACATCACATGAAAAAAGAATAATAAACGACAATAACATTTAAAACGACAACCAAGAGCAAACGACATGAATTGTAGAAACAACGGTAAAATGACATGAATGTCTAACAAATGGACAAGATTATGTAAATGACATGCTATTGAAACGACAGCAAGGGCACCAAAAAAAAACAAAAACAAAAAAAAAAAAACAACAACAACAAAACAAAATCAGCTTTTAAACAAAAAAAAAAAAAAAAACAACAACAACAAAACAAAATCAGCTTTTAAACAACAAAGAACAAAAGAATAGTTATCAGGATTATTGATCAGTTACCTATCTATCCATCACATTACACGAATTCAGAAAACGAAAAGTATAATTAAAACGTCAAATGGATAACCAGCATGCGACCTTCTCCGATAGACCAGCCTGCTCAGTTAATTTCTGATTGTGAGATCTAATCAAAATTAGATCAGATTAAAAAAGTACGCAGAATAGAATCTGATACAAATTTAACAGTTGAAAAATAGAGAACTAGCAATAGTTCAACCATGCGAAAAGGAAATTAAATTACATTATCACAAAAGAGACATCCATTGTAAAAGCACCAATTGTTATACAGACGAGACTACACTGCCTATCCAACAGACGATCATATCACAACAACAACAACGTATAAACAATACCAAGACAACGATACTAAGAAGGAAACTAGTTACAAAATAAAAAGAAAAACGGCAGCAACAATAAGCTACACCATCTTCTCTAGAAACGAAGATTACTGAAAACGACCTCCAGTTACCGAAAAACCACACTCGCTATAACACTAGAGTGATAAAAACATTGATTATACCAACGACATTAAAAAGAAGCGTCAATAATAATATAAACCACAACAAAGAACAAAAGAAACTTTTTATAACAATAACAATCAAAGAAAAAGGATAACTAAAGAACATAAATTGTCGACGCGACACTTAGATTAGCTAACAAACAATCGCAAGTACAATCATAAAAGCAAGTACAATCATAAAAGCGACAATAATGAGAAAAACAAAAGAAATAAACGACATAAATTGCATAACGACATTAATTTACGGAGTTACCTGCCACAAATGACATTAATAAACTTTTAATAAAAGAAAACAACATCAATGGTAGAAACAACCATAACATAAAAAATAATTTGAAGATGAAATATCTCAAAAATCGACAAGTAAAGAACATGAACCGAAGAAGAAGATTGACGCAGAAATGGCTGTAATTGGAAAGTGATGAGTGTCAGGAAACAACAACAATAAGAACAATGAAAGCGACTTTAACTGGGAAATGCTGTTAAGACCAAAGGATTATCTATCATCAGAATCAGATTAAAGATTAAGAACAGAAGTAAAAGTTTTAAAAGAGGAAAAATAAAGAACAACTAGAACTTCTCAAATGCTCAAAGTCTACAAAGATGGAAAAGCATAAAAGCTTATATAGAATCTATTGCAAGTATATTTCAGCATAGCTGGATGTTGTTGAGACAAAAGGATGATGTATCATCAGATCAGCAGGATTAAGAACAGAAGTAAAAGTTTCAAGGAAAAAAAAAATTAACTAGAAACTTTTAATCTACAAAGATGGAAGCATAAAAGCTAAGATAAAATCTATTGCAAGTATATTTTCAGCACAACTGGATGGGAGTGTGGTGATGATACAATAAAAATATTGAAAGATCAGCACCGGCATATTTGACAATGTTTAACACATCTGCTTTCTCACCCCAATTTGGACGTCTTCCTGAAGGTCTTGGACGGATTGACCAACAGAGAATGCACCATGGCTAACTAAGATGAGAAACAGCTAATCCCTGCATCCCACAAAAGAAAAAAAAAAGGAATATCAGAACCCCCTCATTGTAGGGATGATGCCATTTACACACGTTCTTTAAATTTTATGCAATGTATTAATCACCATTAGAAACTGAAGCACAAGGCCGGTGAAGCACTATTATAAAGAGGCACACAAGCAAGACTTATCTAACATGTAGAGAACTGTATTTTGGATTGGAATTTTGATTCCGTGATCACACCTAAAGGGAAAGAGAGAGTGTAGCGAACTGTATCTTGGATTTGGAATTTTGATTTCATGATCACACCTAAAGGGATAGAGATACTTTGAACTCCATTCTATACAATTTATTGCTTCCATCATGAGATGCATTATTAGGCTGGAAACTATTACAGGCATACCATTGGTGATAATAACACCAAACCAATGATTCTGAGCATTCATTAGAGAAGGAATCGATGTAAAACCGCTAAGTGTAGCGACTATAATATGATGCGACTATACAAAGTTGAAAGAAGTGAAAAACAAGATAACACACTTGGACATGTCAATGTAACAGATATCAATAAATAGAATCTGATCCTGCATTTAGCAAAGGAAACTAAGATAGTATGCACATATAGTCATAAATCAACAATCCATAAACGCATATGCCAATCTTCAATTATAAGAATAAGCTAGCTAAAGTGTCAAGAAAGAATTTTACTTACCAATACTTGATCAAGCCATCCCAGCCACATGTTGCCACTTTACTTTGCTCCAACGGATGCCACTCACACCCAATGCACACACCCTCATGACACTTGAGAGTTCTGAACACTTTGCAAGTCTTCCAGTCCCAGAACCAGCATCTACCCTCACCATCTCCGGACATAACAAATCGACCATCCGGCGAGAAATTAACTTGGCAAGCATAGCCGGCAACGACATGCCCGGCAAACCTCTTCTTCTTATTAAGCTGAAACTTCTCCCTAGTGCTGTAAATAAGAATCTGATTATCCATACTCTGCGCAGCAAGCCAATTCGAGTTCGGGTGAAGCGAAATCGCCGGCATGGAGTGCATGTGAGGCTCACTAATGTACTTGATCACCACCGGGATCCCGAATTCCCAAACGCGCAGCGACTTGTCGTCACTCGAAGTAACAAACCTCCTATTGTTATCGACAAACGTGATGGTATTCACAGCACCCAAATGCTGATCATACTCTTGCGTTATCTGTCCAGTGTTCATATCCCACTGAACGATCTTCTTATCGCTCATCCCAGCCAACAAAATGTTCTGTTTATCCTCATCCGGATTAAGCTTAACAACATAAGGAACCTTCCCAGTAGAGAAAGTTGAAATCACTTGCCCAGTTTCAGTATCCCAATACTTAATGTTCTTATCATAACCAGCGCTCAAAAACTTAGTCCCATCATTAGAAAAACATATATCGCGAACAGCTTTAGAATGACCCATGTAAGTTCTCATACACTTACCGGTATTGAAAACGTCCCAAATCTTGATCTTGGTGTCCATCCCAGCAGAGAGAATCAAGTGTCCATATTTGGGGAAGAACCGAATAGCAGAAACGCCCTTTGTGTGGCCACTCCATGTGTGAACCAATCTCTTCGGTATATAACAATGATCGTTCGTGGCCTTGGCGTCCTTGGGAGGCGCAATCCAAGACCTGCCTTGATAATCCCTCTCTTCTTTACCATGAAAAGCCGTCTTATCAGCAAAAGCCTCACCTTTCTCTCCGCCACCTCTCTCCTCGCCTTTCTTCTTGGCGTACTCTTCTGCGTACTTCTTCTGCTCCTCCGTCAGCTCCGTCTGCAAGTCTTCCTTCTTCCCAGCCCAAGGGCTCTTCCTGTTCTTCATCAGCCACGATTCGGTCGCCGGATTATCGACCTCGCTCTGATCGATCTCATCGCCGTTTTGATCACCGTCTTCGGCCAATTCCTTCTTCTTCTCCAATTTCCGTTTCTTCTGCTCGTGCTGGGGGATGTTGTAGACGGAAACGGCGTCGTTCTGCCGCAGAGCGTCCACATCGCCGACGTAGTTGAATCCGGCGGAGGCGGAGGGGTCGGCGGCGTAGCCGTACTTGTGGAAGGTGTTGTACTGCTCGTCGAAGACGAAGGGCTCGATGGAGGCGTCCTCGACGAAGCCGAGCTTGTGGTTGCGCATGCCCTGGGCGATGCCGTCCTTGGCGTAGGGGTGGGAAGGGCCTTGGATTGGGGCCCACAGCTGGTCGTATGTAGGGTTGAAGGCGACAAGGTGCTGTGTCGGGTCGATGGGCTTCGACTGGTCGCGGCGGTGGGCGGCGGCGGCAACCGTTAGGGAGAGCATTGTGTCGTCAACTTTTGGGGCGGCGGATTTGCCGGCGAGGAGGCGGGGCGGCAACGAGTCCGGGTAGGAGCTAGGGTTTTGGTTTTGGTCCTCCGCCGCATCGTCTAATTCGTCTTCGTTTTGGTCCCTGTAGGACTGGAGGAGATCCATGGGATTGTGGGGCGATCAAATTTGGGTGGTTTGTCTTTCGAATTTTGGGAATGAATCTGAAAAGCTTTGATATGAAAATGCTTAAGCGTGATTGGAATGGATTCCAAAATCGTTTTTCACGTTTTTCAAAAAAGAAAAAATGAAAATGAGGGGAAGATAATGTTAATATGAATCACGATGACACGATTTGAAAATGATACGAATTTTATGAGTTAAGATTGAGAAAAAATAAGTTCAGGTCAGAATTAGATCGACATATTAACACGAAAAACACGGGTCAATTTCAGGTTAAACCCGCCTAATTCGAACACGACGTGAAAATCGTAAAAAAAAAGAGCCGGTTTGGTTCATGTAGAGCAATTTTTTTATTTACGTGTGTTTTTTGTAAGAGAAAATACTGTAATAAACCATGAACCATGATTCGAATCAGAGAATAAATCCTCTAACCAAACGGGCTCGACAGTTGAGTTTTTGAGTCAAAAACTCAAAAAAAGCAACTTGAGTTATAACTTTATTCAAGTTCATGTTCTTTTAAGTTTGAACTCGAGTTTGAGACTAAAACTCAAGTTCATAAACTCGAACTCAAATTAATAAACAGTATTTTTTTCTATTCTTAAAAATGCTATAACTTTTTCGTTTTAATTCTGATTGAGATTATTTTTTTCTATGCGTTGACAACGAAAAGACGAATAAAACCCCACCCATATACCCTATTAAAATTTTCTATCAGCATTGAATTTTTATTAATATACTATCTAAATACAAAATCAAGTTTTCACTCACTCAAACACAAACTCAAAAAGATTCGTATCTCAAACCATAACTTAAATGTACACAACCAAACACAAACTCAAACTCAACTTAAAATCTACACTAAAGACACCTAACTCAAAAACGGCAAAAGAACAAGCCCTGAAAAAAATACATATATTTTTCATTACATATTTTTTATTTTATTATGAACTTGTGATATCATGATAGTTATACTCAAAATTTTATACTATTATTTGTTTAATTTCAATAGATGTTATTGTATTTTAGTGTGTTATGAATTTTAGGTTATTTCTAATATGTAAAAAAATAAATAAAAATATATAATTTTCGTGTCAAATTTCGAGTTCACGGGTCAATTTTGTGTCACGGGTCATTTTCGTGTCGTGTCATGTCAACCTGGAAAGTGATCGTGTCGTGTTCGTGTTACGGTTTTTAAAAAATTTTGTGTCACGGATTGTGTTCGGGTTGACTGTAAATTTAGAAAGAAACGATCAAAATACGACATATAACACGAATTTTTACCCCTAATTTGGGGCAACCAAGGACAAAAAATAGAAATGAAAATAATTTTTGTAAAATGAGAGAAATATTAGTCATTTTTTATTTTTTATTTTCATTTTCTCTACTCTCAAGTAGAGATATATATATCTACATAATTATTCTATTAATAAGTTATTTCTTTACATATAAGATAAATTACACTTGTGCTCCTGAACTATTGACGTTTTGTAAAAATTCTCTTTAAAGTTTAAAAATAATAAATTTTTCCTTGAATAATTCATCGTTAGTACACTTCTTTTGTATCTACCCCCTCTGTCCCTTTGTTAACTTTTGAACGATAAGTGTCACATTTGTGGCACGTGACTCTTATTGCAAGAATAAATGCACGTGACTCTTATTACAAGAATAAATAAATAATTTAGGTCAAATTCTAAGGGCATGTTTTTTTAGAATGTGATTTGAGTGTAGTTTTTGAGTTGAATTTGAGTTATAATTTGAGTTGAAGTTGTAACTTGAGTTTGTGTTTAATTGTGTACATTTGAGTTATGATTTTAGATAAGAATCTTTTTTTGAGTTTGTGTTTGAGTGAATCAAAACTTAAATTTGTATTTATATAGTATTTTAATAAAAACTCAACGGTGATGAAAAATTTTAATAGGGTATATGGTGTGATTTTATTCGTCTTTTCGTTGTCAACGCATAGAAAAAAAATCATCTCAATCAGGATTAAAACGAAAAAGTTATAACATTTTTAAGAATAGAAAAAATATTATTCATTAATTTGAGTTTGAGTTTTTGAACTCGAGTTAAAGGGAACACTTGAACTCGAGTTTTAGTCTCAAACTCAAATTCAAACTTAAAAGAACATGCACTTAAATACATTTAGAACTCGAATTATATTTTTTAAAATTTTTTAGGCAGCCAAACACACTCTAAAATGTTCAAAATAGGGTCAATTAGGGTAAAAAATTTCCAGAGTAATTTCACACACTTAATAATTACACAATGAGGACAATAATATATATATATATAAAGCCAGGTCTTGAACGAAGAAGGTGTTGGTTTCGCAGCAAAACTTGCAATTAACAAAAGCCAGAATTTCAATGGAGCGCGTGGTTCATGGAATTATTGAGACAGGTAAAAATCACTCACCCCAACCCACCTTCAGATTTTGATTCCGATAATTCTGCAAGACTCAAAAAATTCAGTTTTTATGCAAAGCATTGAAAATGCTGATTTTCTTTTTCATGAAATCCTTCTTCGTTCAAGACTGGGCTATCACGGATCTAAAGTATTTTAATGGAAATCGCCCACTTCATCGCGCCTAGGATCGCCGCCACGCCTCTAATCGTCGCGATTTTTTGCCACCGGCCTGGGTCCAGCTCCGATAGGCTTTTCCTGATGAAGACCCACTCGATTCCGGGAGACCCACTCAAAATTGATATGATTTCATAATGTTTCTTCTTGTTCTAAACATGAAATTGAGATGATTAACGAAAGATAAATTGAGAAATAATATACTGGGTTTTAAGGGCAAAATTGTCATGTCATAATAAAATAAAAATTTAATACCTCAGTGACTTACATGTGTCACTTACCGTTTAAAATTTAACAGAAGATGTGGATAAAGCGTGCTAATGGTGAATTGTTCAAGGAAAAAATTTACTATTTTTAAACTTTAGGGGGAATTTCTACAAAACGTCAATAGTTTAGGGGGTACAAGTGTAATTTGTCCTTACATATATAAAAACGAAATATTTTCATTTTCTTATTTAATATATTATTTAAAATACTATTAGATGTTTTCAAAAATATATAACCAAATGAAGTTTTAATTTTTTTTATACTAAAAATAATCTCTTGATAAAATTACCAAATGCATTTTTAAAAATAATTTTCTATCTGAAATTAAAAATATTTTTATTTTCATTTGCATACAAAAAACAGAATCATTTTGGAGCGAGTTCTAAACGCACCTCTTGTTTTCTTGAGTTTAATAGATCTGATTACGCGGATTAGGGGTCAATGACAGATTGACCTGTATTTTCAATATTCTCATGAAATTAAATACAAAATTATACACAAACATAATATAACATAAAATTTAAATAGTTCCACAATTCATTAAACACAATCTAACATAATACATTATAAGTATATATACAATTAAAAAAATCTCTTATATATTATTACAAAAATATATAGTATATATACTTTGGATTAGCGGATTATACGGATTGAGAAATGCTCAATCTGTAATTTAATCTGACAAAATAAATTGAATTATTTAGATTAGACGGATTAGCGATTCAACGTACACCCTTAAATGCACGATATGAGAAGAAAAAACGCAATTATACAAGCCTGAGATTTATGCCTTTTATAGTTGGCAAGATACCTGTAAAACTCCCTATATTTATCAAAATATTACTTTTACTCTTTCTTTTGCATATACTTATAGTCTATATTTATAAAAACAAACCCAAAACACTTCTTAAAATAGTTAATTTTTTTAAAATGTCATAATAATGCTTTTCAATCTATAAATGTTATTTTAGATATAATTTAAATAAAAATTTTAAAAATGCTCAAATAAAATTCTAATAAAAATACTTCAATTTTTTGAGAGTTTTTATTTTTTTGAAGATTGATTTTATTTAACATTTTGATTTAATAATGTTTTAAATTGTATATAATAAAGATTGAGAAGAGTAATCTTAATATTTTAAAAATGTAATTGTCTCAAGAGTGTTTTAGGTCTGTTTTAATAAACACAATGGTAGTTTGGGTATTTAAATAATAAAAAGTGAAAGTAATATTTTAATAAAACACATGTTTTTGATATTATCCCGTTGTAGTTTCTTTTAGAGGGGCTGATGTTTGCACGTAGGTCCTCACACTTTTTGATATTCGACATTTGAGTCTTCATTTTAAAAACCTACACAATTAGGTATGTAAATTCTATTAAACCCGAAAAACAAGATTTTCATACCATATTTTCACATTCATTTCCAAATTAGAAACTCGAAAAGACCTCTAATTTTAAGAATTTGAAAAACTGGATCCCAAACTCTCATTTTTTTAGAACATGAGTTCCTATTAAAAGAAAAAAAAAAAAAAACTCATTATACTATAAAATTAGCGCTTCCTGAAGTTTATTAAAAAAAACTCAGTTCCCACACTCAATCGGAAGATTTTTTTATTTTTTTAAAAAACAAACATATGGATAATATGTCATTTAAATCTCAAATAATACAGCGCCGTAGATGAACAAGCAAAAAAAAAAAAAAAAAAAATCAATGTAGAATAATCAGCAACTTTCATACAATATTCTAGCCAAAAAAAAAAAAAAAATCAGTAACTTAATGCACAGCTAGGTAGCTTATCAACGTAACATCAGACATCTCAAGGATTCTTCATTTTGATCCTCAACTTCCTAGCTATCTGAGCTGCTTTAGGATGTACTGGTCTCTTACTACTATCACACTGTTCCATTTCCACCCAATTAATAACCTTTAGTATCAACGACTGAGCAACTTTCTTAGCTTCCCCATCTCCTCTCTGTTGTTTCTTCATTCCCGTTTCTAACGCCTTCTCCAAAAACTCCATAAACCAAATCCCAGCTTCTGTCTCAATCTGCTTACCCAACTTAATTGTATTGCTCAATCCGCTTTTAGTATTACAACAAGACCCCCCCGGTTTACTATTCTCATCATTCTCACCTACAGCTTCAACAATGGCCGATTTTCCAAGTGGGGTTAAAGGATTTTTTCTACTGCTTCTCAGGAGCCTTCCGACGTTCGTCTTCTCCTCGCTCCTATCAGAATTAGCCCCGACCGCGACTGATTTGCACAGTGCCGACCTCCTTTTCGATGAATTTGGCTCAGTTTTGGCGGAGTTCGGCAAGATTTCGTGTAAAACGGATGATGGATGTTCTTCCATGTCCTTCCGTTTAATACTGACCGCGTTTTGAGCGGTTTCGGTTGTGGAGGTAGCTGCTTCAATTGACACCATGTCCGTCACTGCCTGCGCAATTTGGTGATGGAATTCGACGAACTTATCGAAGCAGGGTGCCGGGTTTTCTGCCTTTGCATTTTTGCTCAAGTTTGAGAACATCCTAAAGAAGTAACTGAAATGAGTGAAAAAAATGTGCTTGCTATTATTAGCTAATCTAGAATTTTTTTAAGAAAAGTGACTTGACAGTACTTGAGAGATCGGACTAAGGTTTCAGTTGCTGTAGCTTCTCTTAATGCTTGAAGGGCAATCTTCTGAGCCGTTTCTCGTTGTTGTACAGCTTCCTAAAAAAAACACATATTATACTAAGAGACTAACGGAGGTAAAAGGACAAATAAAATTCTGGTGACTAAGAGTTGAGTTGAAAAGATGCCAACCTTCCCAAGAATGACGAGTTTTCCAGGCAAGTTCATGGAAAGGCTTGTGCTGTCATTATCAGGAGATGTTTCATAAAGAGACTGAGATTGTGGTTGAGAAAAAATTGTTTTTGAGTTGGAGGAGTTTTGGGCATCTCCGGCAGACATGTTTAGCGAAGCTGCGACTCTCGAATTCCGCAATCTCGGCGGCGGAGTTGAGCTTTTCTTTTCCTGAAAACACAGAGTGACACAATTCAGTAAAAAGGAGAGAACAGAAAAAAGTAAGAAAGAAAAAGGGGGAAAAAAAAACACAAATTTTGGTTCATGAACAAATGTTGGTACCTACAGCTAAGTAGAAGGGACTAATTGGGATCCTCGGCTCCCGCTCGGAAACGCTCCGGCTCCGCGGAAACTTCCCTGCCGAAGCGACGCAGCTTTTCCTCAGCAGTGCAGGACTTTCCCCTTTCGAATCCATCGTCTTCGCCAAAAGTCCGCCGCCAAAAGAGCTCCGAATTGCTGAATTCCCAGGAGTTCTTCCTCTGATCATCGGCGACATCGGCAACAGAGTGTTCCCGGTCCTCGCCGGAGCCACATTCCGGTCCTTAACCGGCGTACACTGATCGAAATCCAACGGAATCGGCTTCAGAACCATAGGAGAAGAACACGAAGAACCAGAGTCTCCGCCGCCGCCAGTATTGGGCCCTAATCCCCAAGAACCCCTTCTTGAAACCTTTGTGGATTTCTGCTCAATTTTCTCCCCCCTCTCTCTCAGCCCCATCAGCGGCTCCGGCGTCCCCACCAAGGGATGCCGGCCGGGGAGCGGCTTCGCGCCTTTGACGACGGGGAGAGGAGAGCCCGGCTCGAGGCGGTCGACGTAGATGAACTGGCCGAGCTGCATTTTGTTGCTGAGAACGAAGTCGTCTTGCTCGGAAGGAAGACTGACGTAAATGGAGTGGGAGGAGTCGGAGACCTTGATGAAGAAGCCGTGCTTCGGCCATAGATTCTTCTCGTCGAGGTCGGCCGGGACGATGTCCGTCACCTGCAAGAGCGAGCTCCGGTGCTCGCTCGTCGCCTTCGTCCCGGTGTTCATCCCGTTCAGGAGCTTCAACAGAATTCCCGGTGCCAGAGCCGCCATGACTTTGAAAGATTTTTCAAAGAAGAAGCAAGAATTGAAAGATTTGTGAGGATCTTGGATTCTAGATTATTGGGTTTCTTTTTTTCTTTCTTTAGAGATTAAAGATTGTTTTTTCATGGTTGGGGACGTTGGCAACAACGGTCAGGAGTACTAAGTAGAGGGAGAGAGGTCGCGAAAAGGCTCTCTTTTTCTTTTTTAAAATTTAGAATGTTTCGAACGTTGAGGTAACGGTCATATTTCTCTTGAGTCTTGATGGCGAGTCACGTCAATAATGATTTTGAATTACATGCAATATCTGCCGGTCGCTAATAACTACTTAGCCTTGTAATTAAATCCAAAGCATGTACTTGATGAAAAATGACGTCCTACTATGTGTATTTAACCATGAGGATTCAAATCATGATTTGAATCATAGTTCATAGTTTGTTACAATATTTTTTCTCACAAAAAATATACGTAAATTAAAAATAATTCTAATCACATAATTCTAATTTATGAACCAAACGTACGTGCTTCTTAGAGATAAATTTTGCCACAGAGAAAGAGAGGAAAAAAAAAAGTAGGCTTGGAATTACATATACAGGAAATGTCTTAGCCCGACACCCGTATGCTTCAGTAAATATAATTTTTTCATATTTCTGGAGTTTTTTTTTTTTTTGCTATGATTTTTGAAATAATGTCATTGTTTTTTTAGTAGAGAGAAAGTATCTAAAAATAGATATAACTTATGGTGGAAAAAAATTTATCTATTAATGTCTTTTTCTATCTGAGAAATAATGTCGCCGAATAATGTGAATGGTTCGTGTATGTAACAATTAATATCATATGTGTTAGAATTATATATTTTTTAATATTATACTAAAATAAATTGAGTGTTATATACATATAAAAACGATAACGATGTTTACCGATCATAAAAAAAAGTTACACGTAAGTATCTAGGTACCATGCACAATTTCTATATACATATATTTAAAATTCATATATCTATGTATACTTAAATTCCTATACTTATTTATTTATTTATTTTTTGAAAGGGTTTAAATCCCAAGACTTAAGATAACAAAGAGAGCGGTTGTTTGGCTACTCCCTCGTGAACCACAATAAAATACAGGAATAAGTAATGCAGAGGATCACAGTTCTCTCGGGGGTGGATGGGACACAGTGAGTAATTTACACCGCTACTTCCTTTAACTCTTTGATAGGTGACGTTTTGATATCTCTTCTTTTAATTTTAACAAAATAATTCCTCAACTCTCAAAATATTAACAATTAAATCCTTTCCATCTATTTTTGTTAAGTTTTTAACAGAATAAATCATGTACAATGCATATGATTTAGTATTAGAGGGTAGTTTGGTAAAATAGCTAATAATTTATAACTTATCAAAAAAACAAAATTAAAAAACTCACTCAAAACAACTACTAGATTATGGGTGACAATTCGTGTCATGTGTCGTGTTTTGATCGTTTCTTTTTAAATTTACAGTCAACCCGAACACGACCTGTGACACGAAATTTTTTAAAAATCGCAACACGAACACGACACGATCATTTAACGGGTTGACACAACACGACCTGAAAATGACCCGTGAATCTGAAATTGACACGAAAATTGTATACTTTTATTTAATTTTTTACATATTAGAAATAACTTAAAATTCATAACACACTAAATTACAATAACATCAATTGAAATTAAGTAAATAATAGTATAAGATTTTGAGTATAACTATCATGATATCACAAGTTCATAATAAAAATTAAAATATGAAATGAAAATATATGTATTTTTTAATTTTTTACGAGTTTCGTATCATGTTCAATCTGAAATTGACCCGTATTTTTCGTGTCAATTTCAAATCGACCTAATTCTGACTCGAATTTCTTTTTTCTCAACCCTAACCTGTAAAATTCGTGTCATTTTCAAGTCGTGTCGTTGTATCGTGACCCATATTATCGGCCCTATACCAGACCTCATTAATTAAGAATAAAAAGAAAAAAATATATAAAAAAGCTAAAGAGATCTCCCGAATAGAGAGAGTGAAAATGAAGAACAGATGCCTTTGGGTGGGGGTGTGGTGTCTGACTTTGACGGTGGGAGAAGATGAGGCGGTTCTGGAGGTGGTGCGGAACCCTCGCGAGGAAAGCTCCACCGTGCCCAATGAACCCGAAAGTATATTTGCCCTGCTACCCAGCACCAGCCCTTCACGTCCCCCCGTCGATCTTCGTTGCTGCGGGGCTCCATTGTCCCCCTCCGTTTTGCTGGGTTTTCTTTTCCGTCCATTTGGGCTTTCTTCTCCATTGTTCTACATCTTGTTTGGGAGGATCAACAATGTTAAGGAAATTAAAAAAAAAAAACGAAAGAAAGAAAAAAAAGAAAAAAATGTCAGACATTGTTCTGATGTACTTTCTTTTTTAGTTTTCCATCATTTGGTCAAGTTGTTTTCTCTTGACGAAGAATATTTCTTTGTGTGATGTTTGACAGTCCGAATTGTCATGTTTTTTGAGTGATTTGTAGTTGATGTTTGTTAAATGCTTAGGTAATGTATGTTAATTTCGGACCGTGTCCTTTCAAAAAAAAAAAATGTTTGTGTTCTTGTTTTCGCTTGTTGATTATGGGTTTGAATTTTTGATAGATTGAGAAAAAAAAAAGTAATTTCTTGAGAAATTAGAGTTATTTCATCTGATGAGATAATAAGATTAGAGAAGAATTTTTTCTCTTTTTCCTACCGTGCAAAATAAATTAGAGCACGTTTAGTTGATGCATTCAGAATTATTCTTAATTTATGTATATATTTTATGAGAAAAAATATTATAATGAATCACGAATCATGATTCAAATCATAGCACGAATTCTTAAACCAAATTTTAGTGTAATTTTTTTGGTTTGTATCCTGCAAATATCAAAGCGCGCGGGTTTCTTAAATTTTTTTTTTTTAAATTAAGAGTTTGAGCTTTGTTAAGGTTGAGAGTATTTTGGTATTTTCTCTAAAATAAAGGTCACATGATAGATAACGTGCAAAAATCTGTTAAAAATTTAACAAAATTTATCAGAAAAGACGGCCCGTTTAGTTCATTAATTTAAATTTTTAATTTGAGTTGATATGTAATATTGTGTGAGAGCTTTTTACTGTAGTAAAAAAATTAGATGTGATTGATTCTGATAACTTTTTACTGCAACAAAACTCGAATTCTAAACTCGAATCAGCAAAAAAAACGGAGTCAGTTATCAACATTTTAAAAGTTAAGGGACTGTTTTGTCAAAATTAAAAGAAAGACAAAGGCTTCGTTCATTTCACCGATTCGAGTTTTCAGTTTTAGGTTTTTACAGTAAAAAACTCAGAAAATGTCACATCTAACTTTTTCTGCTACAGTAAAAAACTCTCATAAAATGTCACATCTCAACTTAAATTGAAAACTCGAATCCGCGAAGTGAACGAGGCCAAAAGTGTCACCAATTAAAGAATTAAACGACCAGCAAGGCAAATTACCATTAAAAAAAGAATAGAATTAATCGTTGACTGCGTTTGTCTGCCTCAAAAAAAATTTTGAATATAAAGATACCAGCGCAAGTATCTACCGCTTTCTCATATTGCTTACCATGAATAATAATGATGAATATTATGAAAAGACTAGCAAAGACAACTGATCATAGTAAAGTATTAATAAAGACAATCTTTAACTCGCTAAGAACTTAATTAACAGGAGAAAGAAACTAATGAATATTTTAAAGGATCATAAATGCTTAAAATCTGGAAGTTTAACGGTATTAGCCAGTCATAAGATTAAAAGATAAAGCAAATACCAGAAAACAAAAATGGCGAACCTTACCCCATTTCATATGCAAAGAATCATAATGTTGCACAATAAAAATAAAAACACAAGATTTCTTCCCATCATGATGAAACACTCGAATTTTCTTTTTTAACTTGTTTAATTGACTATGCAACATACAAATGTTTGAAAATAACCTATTTTATTTGCGTCGAGATCGAAATATGCTAATTGCAGATTTATTCAATGTTGAAATCCGTTTAACAAAACTGACCAAAGAAAAAATGAGGACATGCAGTGGCAGGTCATCATCACCACATTCTCAAACAACTTAAAAGAACAATGCAACTATTCTTCAATTTCGAATTAATATTAAGCTCAAATTCAATCAAAATCATTGAATAAAACAAAAATTAGGCGCCAATGATAATCTTGCATCTACTCGTAACAGAAGCTCGCCGGCCATGTTATAGTGGTGTCGCAAATCCTGCAAAAGAACAACAATTTCAAGATAATTCTCAAGTGCTGAAAGAAGTATTAATTAGTATTACAAATAACAATCAACCCTTAGATACATAGAACTGACAAGATTTATCAGTGGCAATCATGCCCTTTGGAAGATGGGAAGTTGCAAGCATAGTCCATGAAGATAAAAAGTTACAAAATTAAAGAAAATCTATTTATTCTAAAATCAAGGAAAATAAACTCAGCAGCAGAATAATGTACGTTATACTTAGCATCTAGAAACATGCACATCCATATCAGACCTTAACATTTTTTTTTGGATATCCAGAAATCCACCGAACTCACTTTGTGAGCCCGAGTTTGAAACTAGAGCCTTCCATCAAACCCTATAATTTTTGGAAGGGAAGAAACTATGATTTTGTTATGTAGGTGCCCATGAGGTGATTAGAACCCCAGACTTTGTGAGATCAAACCAAAGGCCTACCCATTCCAACCAACACCCCATGGGCCAGACCTTAACAACCTGAACATGTTTCGACCACTTATTTTCTGATGAACCTGCTTGAAACAAAGACATATACACCTTGTGGTAGTAAAAGCAGTTTTGCCAACATGTTGTTCACCAAAGCATAGACAATACAGGAACTACTCATGACAACTTATCCAACATTCTTTCAAAGCAGGACAGAGACGCATGATGTAGGGAGATTTGATAGTCGTTTTTTATATTTTATTGTCGTTGGTTCTAACTTAGGAATTTAGCTTAGTTTTATTATTAGTATGTCGTTTATCTTACTTGTTATTTTATTATCGCTATAAATATCCACATTGCCTATGTAATAGAGAGACTTGAGTATTTTGATAATTGAATTAGAGTTGAGTTCCCTCTCCAATTTGGGGGTTTTCCCCTTGTGGGGTTTTCTTTTAGGTGGACTTGGACTGTTGAGGCCCGTCTTCCGTCCGGGTTAGGCCGGTAAAATCCCGTTCTATCCATTCCGCTGCATCACCGCATTTATTCAATTCGATGTCTAGGTCTACACTCTACAGCAAAACCACCAGAAACCGTGGGAAAAAATCACATTCCTCGAAAAATTTCATTTCAATAATCAATTCAGTCAGCAGCTTAGCATAAAATGTAAACAAACTGCTTACATTACCACCTCTTAATCCTAAGTGGTAAACCACTATGGAGTTTAAGATTGTTGTGCTTTTGAAAGAAGCATTATTTTCAATTGTAGCAAAAGTAGAAGCAAACATCCACTCACTACTGGACTGGCTTCCAAAGCAATCCCAAACTGAGCCCATAGCTAACATCCATTCACTACTGGACTGGCAGACTCCTTAAAATCCACTTAGCACGAAATACCAGAAAGATGAAATTCTAGCTCTACTCCCTCTAAGATCAGGAAGTGAGAGGAGTAATATTTTCTAAAGATCTTGTGCGTCAACTCCATTTGAACACCCCAACTTCCTCAAATCCCAAAAAAAAAAACAGTGAATACCTCTCTAACAGAGTCCTGTTCTCCAGTGAGTCAAATCTATTCTATTCATCGACACTAAAAACATTAAAAAAGAGACATGTTCCATAAAAATAGCAATGTAAAATGACCAACAAAATCATGGGCGCCACCGAAAAAAATATGAAAAGAACTGGAGTGAAATGTTGGAGTTACCTTCTGATAGACAACCCCACTTGTTGTTATGCAAAGACAGCATAGAAGTGAACAAAGCCGAGGCAGTGACACTATGCAATGGCATCAAAGACTGTAAGCTAGCCAACTCCACAGGAAGCCTAAGATTACAAAGCCAAGATTCTTATTTAGTAACAAGAACATAATCATCAGATTGACAAAAAAAAGTTGCAACTTTATATCCAAAATCAGATAAAAAGTTTTTTCTTTTGGCCCCTTTTTGGGAAGAAAATTATAATATGTCCAAATGATGTTAACAAATTCTATTATCTTTTTTATTTATGCACACAAAGTTGGAATTTGGAACCAAAATTATACAAAGTTTTCCCCTTTTTTTTTTCTCTCTTGGAAAAGTTCACATAACAGTTAAAAGACATAATGACCGAACTAGTGAAATAACGAATTCTCAACTAAATTCTGAAGAAAAAAAAAACTGGTCGAGTGGGCACATTCAAGAATCGCTGAAAAAATAATAAAAAAATAGAAAAAGTTACCTTGAGGAGTTGAGTTTGTGAAGAGAGAATCGAGAAGCGGAGCTGGGCTTGGAAGCGGCGAGACCGGCCAACTTAGAAGCAGCTTTGGAAGCAAAGAGCGATGGTGAAGAGGAAGACCTCAAAAGGATTTTCGCAGAGGCCGAAGATACTCGTAGGGTTTGCCTTACACAGTTAGCCGCCATTGCTAATTTCTCTGTCTCTCTCTCTGCTGCTAAAGCTTCCTCTTTCTCCTTCTCTCTCTCTCTCTCTCAGTCGCCACTCGCGGGATCGACATTCTCCAGTTCCCCAGAGAAAGGGGTTCTTCATGGGCTGGATCTAGAATTTGGGCCATTTTTGGCATTGGTGCTAAGCCCATTGGTCTCAGGTGCATTCGGACCCTAATGGGCCTGTAGGTGGAAACCCACAAACCACAGCCATCTTTTGGGTTGTCCAATTCTAATTGCTATGCTGTCATCCTTTCCTTTGAATATTGAGAAAATCGTTTAACTAACCCATAGGGCTGAAGTTTTATATTTTGTTTTGAGTAATTTGGACGAATGGTTCTAAATTTTTTTAAAAGTGGTAGTTTGGTTTTTAAACTTTTTTTTTTTTTTTTTATGAAACGAACTCCAAACGATTTAAAAAAGTGCAATGCCGTCATTTTCGTTAAATGACGTCTAAAAATAGGGACCAAATCCTAACATATTAAAGTCGATTGAGACTAAAAAAATCACCTCATAAAGAAGTAAGGGACCATAATGTCACCCTTTTAGGTTATTATGCCGTTATCTTTTGGACACATTTGATAGAAAGGACGATATTGCACCCTTTTAATTAACATATTTATTTAACTAAAAATGTGTATCAATATTTGTGAGTCAAACATCAAAATGATACTATTTAAAGGAATATTTATCTTTTTTCCCTAAGAAAAATTCAGTATGTTGTATCAATTTAAATAAATAAATTAATAAGGGCTATCTTTTTGTATAACAGATTGCCGAGAGGGCTATCCCGTCTTACGCTCATCTCGTTGCTATCCCTATTATGAGGTGGCGATGCATAAAAAAAAGTTTTCTAAGTTTTCTTCGTAAAGGAGAGAGTTACTAAATGAAAATTTAAAAGAAAAAAGAAAAAAGAAAAAGTCCTTATAGTTATTAAAAATAGGAACTCTCCCCGGTTAGCGTCTTTATCTTAGTGTTAATTTTTAACTATTAAATTTAGTTAAAATTATATCAAATTAAAAAAATATGTAAAGTAAATAATTTCTCATACATATTTAACGGTTAAAAAATAAAAAAATACTAATAATTTATATTTTCTAATTCTACCTTGGAGACTCTTTAAAAAAAGAAAAATATAAAATAAAATAAAAGAGCCCAATTACAAATGAAGGCGAAGGATAATATGAAGAGAAATACAACAAGACTCAGGTTAGGCACCACCTTTATCCAAACTAGAAGGACTACCTAAGCGAGTTAAAATAAAAAAAAATAAAAAATAAAAAAGTAATGTTCTTCGTAACTTCTTTCATGGACGTGACAGCCCATGACTCTCTAGATGAAACATTTTTAGTTTCAAGATCTGTTTAGTTTATTGATTTAAATTTTTAATTCATATTGAGATGTAATTTTATATTTTTTAATGTAATAAAAAGTTAAATGTGATTTTATATTTTTTATTGTAGTAAAAAAATTAGATGTGATTATTTCTAAGAGTTTTTTACTATAATAAAACTCAAATTTTAAATTTAAATTAGTAAAATGAATGAGGTCTCAATTTCTCGTATGTCGATGATTCATCTTGATCCCAGATTCTCGGTGCATTAAAAGCACCATTTTTAAACTTGATAATCAAAGTCTAAATATACTCTTGTGTTTTATTATAACGAATGAATTACAATTCTTTTCCGATAAGAAACATATGTATTGATTATAGCTATTCTTCTCTTCTTTTTGTTCTTCTTGCATAAATATTAGAACTCTTCTCTTGTTCTGAATGAAAAAGAGCCGAAACCCAACATGAAAATTTAAGTTACTACACAGTAAGACTGGAGCCCCTTATTCAGAAAAGCTTTTCCATAATCAAGCTAGTAATGACATCCCAAAAAAAAAGAGAAAAAAAAAAGGATTGATTTTCTTGACCCACGTGTTTTTCTTGCAGATTTTAATTTGTCGGGTAAAGATAACGGAGGCATCTTCATTTTGCAATATGGGGTATCTTTTAAGTTTTAAAGGTGAAAATCATGCCAAAAGCATTATAAAGTACGAGTGCGTTTGGTAGATCAAGAATTATGATTTTAGATCTTTGTTCAGAATTAATATTTATTTACAGTGATTTTGAATCATAATTTAAAATCAGTGTTTGGTTTGGATAATTCTAAATCATGATTCAAAATCTGATATGATGTTTTAAACTAACTCAAATTATGATTCTAAAACCACTGTCCTCTTGATTCAAGGTGATTCAAACCCTTTATTCTAAATCATGGTTTCAGAATCATGATTTGAACCTAAAATCATAAATTATGATTATAATTTCATAATCATGATTAGAATTACTCTAATTTAAATTATCATACCAAACTAGGTTCATGATAAGAACTTCTGAAGCAAAAGATATTTACTTCTAAAGCTTTAGTGCCATACTTATTTCATATGCTCAATAAATAATTTATCATGAAAAAAAGTGTGAATAAAATCAGTAGAAATTATCATTCGCTACACTTTAGTTGGGGCAGACGGAAAATCATGGAGTAGCAGACTTTAGATTAATAACTCGTTACTTGTTGACTTTTAAGCATTCCATAACCTCAACTGCAACTTTTTTTCCTTGGATAAGGATTCCTCGTCAACAAATGACTTGCTTTTATAAAGCGAGAAACGATACTAGGATATTGCAATCCGTATGTCTTTTAATTAAGAATAGCAATCTTTTTGACCATTTAGATAAAAAAGATAACTTCTGATTCACTCAAAAATCACATTGTACTAGTCCGATAAATAATGGAAACAATAATGTCTGCAATTGAAGCTAATTGTTATTGCTGCGAGGTTTTCCAGCCTCATTCACATGGACAAAGCGTGAGAAGAACATGAATCATATAGTACTAGTCCAACAATTAATGGAAACAATAATCCTGCAATTGTAGCTAATTGTTATTGTTGAGAGACTTTGACAGAAATTAAGTGTGGGAAGGGTGATCAGCTGTAGCTATTTTTATTAGGCACGAACACAAGGGCTTCCTACACATTGAGGAATGTCAATATTGAGCCATAATTAGTTAAATAGAGTGACTAAATGCATCACTTTTATCCTAACAAAAGTTAATGAACATTGAGCCGATAGCTTAAAAATAGTTTTAACTGTTTCCTAAATGACTCGAATCATGAGACCTCTTATTTATCAAACTACTTGACAGTAAAACCACTGCCACTGAATTACCAACCTTGGTATTTATTGCTGAGAGATTTTGCAGCCTAGTTCACATGGACAATGCATGAGAAGATCAGGAATCACATAGTACTAGTCCAACAATAAAGAAGATAATAATTCCTGCAATTCAAGCTAATTGTAAATTTGTTATTGTGAAGAGATTTGATGGAAAATAAATGTGGGATAGAACGATCAGCCATAACTACTTTTTTTATATGTTTTATAAAATGTCTCATATCTTGAGAAATATCAGTATTGAGCCATAGTTGCATATATAAAGAGGCGAAACGCGTCATCTTTACTCCAACAAAAGCTAATAAACATTGAACCGATAGCTTGATAATAGTTTCAAGTGTTTCCCAAAGGACTCAAACCTCAGACCTCCCATTTACCGAACTACTCAGCAAATCCGCTGCCACTAAACCGCCACCTCGGTGGTTATTGCTGAGAGTTTGCAGCCTAGTTCACATGGACAATGCTTAAGAAGAACAATCTTCTACTGTTTAAAGGGCTCAACAGAAGCTCTATCAAAAATGACTCGGCAGAAGAAGAAATGGGGTTGTTTAGGAAGTGACTGTTCAGTGCATGAATCACACAGCACAAAACCTGACGTCCTTCTCAATGACATGAGTTATGGGAGTCTGCAACCATCGCATTAATTCTCACTGTGACGTCTCAGAAATAAAAGAAACTTTGGAAAAAAATCCACAACAGCCAATTTACTCACCCCTTGAGAAAGAGTTACCATTTGTTTCTCTTGTCCTTTATGACCTTTTTTTTTTTTTTTTTTGGCTAAAAGTAATATGTATCTTTCAGAAAAATGTTGGAGAAATCTCATGGCCTGGGCAAGCATTTGCAACGTTACCAACCCATTTCATTGTAAACATCAGACATGATACCTATGTAGATAAGAGTCTCGGATAGTGTTTCCATTGTCGTTTTCTCAATGAATTATGCATTGGTTGGTCTTGGCAGTCTTGGCTAACACACCCTTCTTTGATATTTATGAGCCTAATACAACTGAGTAGTTGGCCTTTGTCTTAACTACATACTGGCCAATACAGCTTATGATGTTTTTGTTTAGTAAATATGAAATGGAGCAACTTTCACCAAATTTAGAACCTTTCCTTGTCTTAACTACATATTGGCCTTTACAGCTTATGATGTTTTGTTTAGTAAATGTGAAATGAAGCAACTTTCACCAAATTTAGAACCTTTCCCAACAATGGCTTCCTCTCTACCTAGCTACCGAATTAATGGCAAGTGATGGTGTGGACATGGCAGATCAGTGGTCCACCTTTAAAGTTGGTTGAGAAAATCCCAACTTCTTCTTTTTATAAGACTCCAATGGTTGATGCAAAAGAGTAAAAGGATCTCAACGAGGAAACCAAAATATTTATGATTTACCAAGATTCAGAAACTTGTATGTGGGGATATGACTTTGGTTTCTTATGAAAGCCAACTTTTTTATTTGTCAGCATCTTGCAAAGAAACAAAATAGGAGTAATTATTTTGGCATGTATCACAGCTGACTTCAAAACGATAATGCATTTTCCATTATCACAATAGATGCTTGGTACAAAAATACAACCTTTGTTGATAAGATGAAACATTAAAAGCGTGTTTGTTTGATAATTTAAGTTGAGAACAAGAGTAGAAAAAACAGTATAGTAAAAAGTTAGATTTAAATTTTTTATAAGAGAAAATACTATATAGTAAAAAATTTAAACCGTGAAAAGAACATACCTTCCAACTCTTACTATAGCTGGCCTACTTTCTAACACGTAAGGTAAGTGTACAAACAACCCGTTCACTTCACTGATTTGAGTTTGTAATTCGAGTTGAGATGTGATTTTGTGTGAGAGCTTTTTACTGTAGCAAAAAAGTTAGATATGACTGTTTCTGAGAGCTTTTTACTGTAGCAAAACTCGAATCGGCGAAATGAACGGGGCCTAATATCTTTGTGATGATTTGGTTTTGGAAATAAGTATATTATTAGTTGTTTGTGAGCACATATCTGTATATTTTTCAAAGTCTTTCAAAACGCTGGGCTTTACTCAAAGTAAACAATTGTATGATTACTTTGAGGGGGTGTTTAGTATGCAGTAATGTTAAGGATGAAAATGAGATTCTGTAATATTATCATGTTTGGTACAAGAATTATAATTTTTAGATTCCTAAGAAAGTGATTACCATGGGATTCACTTTCCCTCATTTTAAGGTAATTTGAATACCACCCAACATGATGTTATTCAAATTCTCAAGAATCTCAAAATCATAAGAATCTTATTAT